CTCATGTCCGCTTCACGCCCACTCATCAACATATCTCTCTCAATCACAGAGCGTGTACTGCGAGCGAGCGAAGTTCTGCATTGGCACTTCCACTGCTAACGCAGGCACTCATCCTCTCGGAACCAAGCTGTACGGCCTTCAGTTGAATCGAGATGGCGCGACAGTGAAGGTTTGTGCTCCATGTTACGATGCCTTGGTTGCGCAGAAATCGACTAAACGCGTGTCTGCCGTGGGTAAGCATACTGATTTATCGATTGTGGCTTGCCTAACTCCAAGTGTAGCTTCCTCTAGCTCGGTACAGTCCAACCGCAGCATGCTATGCCGCCCCCGCCTGTACCGCAGGCTCCTCGGGGGCGCCGTATCACGGGTGATCCCCAGATTCATCAGCTGGTCGCAGCGGCCCAGCGCCATGGTAAGATAATACCTCCCCCTCTTGCGGCCATTATTAACGCTCTCTTAGAAAGAGTCGAAGTCCGGGCTATCGGTGCTTTACCAGGGTCAGCGGGATCCAGCGCGGGAGGCCCTCAAGTCCGCCATAGTGCTGGTGGGTATAACGCGAACCACAGCAACTACGAGGCTGCCCACCAAGCGCATCGGAAGCGCGCACTTGGTACCAGCACGGCTATCACTGTTTCAATCACAATCCGACTCGTCCACTTGGTGAAGACAACATTTCAGACTTTTGAGGTGCGTGGTCATTTTTTCTGCTGCAAATGCCTATTGACCCTTATGCCTAGACGTGTATGAAAACGATTCCCGAGGTTGTCCCCGTCAATATCACTGCTTCATCGCTACTCGATCTCGCGTTCAGTTGGATGCAAGAACCTTATCGCGACGCGCTTACCAACCTCGGCTACACCGAGATTTTCCCTCTTTATATCTCTGACGTCGAGCTGCAGAACTCAGCTGGCATTCCCTTCAATCTTGAGTCCGACACACCCGCTATTCGACAGTACTTCTTCAAGCCGGGCAAGGATGGGAGCAGCCTTGTCTTCAACAACAAAGCGACTGTTCCTGTCATCCGACTGATGCTGTCGCCCAACTGGATGGCTCGTTATCGCAGCTGGACTATTGAGATGGATGAGCAGGAGTTGGCATTAGAGGAAGGGACGGCGGCGCGGGGAATGAGTAAACGGAAGGGGACTGGGTCAGTGAAGCCGCGAAAACGGGCCAAGACATATGTGAGTGATTCACGCTGTGTGCATTTCCACACCACTGACGATACTACAGTCGGAAAAGATGATCGAGTCATCTAAAGCGGTGGAATCTCTGACGTCAGCCTCCGTAGTTCCCAGCAACGAAAAGAGTAATTCCATGTCTATCCCATCGTCTCGCGCCATCGTGCCGTCTCGTGCCATTGCGTCGTCTCGCGCCCGTTCAGTCGTCTCGCGCTGTCCAGTCGTCACAGATTCCCGCTGCTCCTGCTCCTGCCGCCGCCGCCACGACCACTACTGCCACCGCCGCCGTACCTACCAGTTCCGATGGCGGATTGGCCCTAGTGGTCATCCCCGGTCCCGATGATCTTGCACGGGCACTTTCATTGGCCACAAGTACTAATGCGCGGGATGCTCGTCTGTTTGGTAGGTTTCCTCAAGTTCTATGACATGCGGATCCTGATATGAATGTAGTTCAGTTCCGGACGTCCCAGATGGAATCATAGGTGATTTCTGGACGGCCAATATCATCATACAGCTGCTGAACCTGTGCATGGAAAGCAGGGGATGTAAGTTCAAATACTGGGCTTGTTGGTGGAGACCAAAGTGATGTCATCCTGTCTAACATTTCATTTGAAACAGAAACCTATAACTTGGTAAAAGTTTGTTGGAGAGGATTAGTAAAGTTCTTACAGCAAAATTCTGGCCATGCCATCTTTCAGGATTCACATGAATTTCATCTGGAATACCATGCGGAAGGATTTTATGTTTGTAAGCACGTCGCATACTGCCATTTTGACGATCTGTCCAAGCATCAAGCTCTGCCTGTAGATAGGGAATAAAGAGCCATCGGAAGAGGAAGCTACATATTTTAAGTATTATGAATCCATCAGATGAGTGTCAAAAAAAAAACGCACGTATCAACTGGATCACGACGTGAGAAATCAATGATGCCAAGTACTTCGCCTTGCTCCAAAAGATGTTCAAATCCTACAGCCCAACCACGACGGATACGAGCCCAACTAATTTCTGATTTGATGTTCATTTTATCATACTGTAAGATTTTATTCAATTCGAATGGCCCGGGGGGCTGTGACACATTGATGTCCGAAAACATTCGTATGATGTTCCCCATTTGGCAATTTGGCGCGCCGAAGGCGCCGGAATTGTAAAAAATTACCATTTTGGGAAGCCAAAATCCACTTTTTGCTGTGACATACGAAAAAATTTCGTATAAAATCGGTTGTGTGACATGTGACATACGAATTGAATAAAATCTTACAGTAGTGCCACTTGTGCTGAATTGTGCCTTGGAGAGATTCATCAAGCTCTTGACGCATGGCAGTATGACATTTAGCAATGCCATTATTTTCACGACCAGTATCACTAAATGTGAGTAAAGGAATTGCTGCAAATATTTTAGATTTTTTCAGTAAAAAAATAATAAAAATCATAAAATAAAATAACATCAGAAAAAGAGAAGTATTTAAAAACTTACTATTCTCTCGCCTTGCTGCTTCAAGATAGTATCCAGTAACAAGAGCTGTATTCCGGTTGGTCCACCATATCTTGTTCCAATGAAATCGTCCGGTGTATGGATCCATTCCTAGATGCATATATAGGCCAAAGTACTTCCATTTGTCATGTTGATCAAAGGTCCAGATCTCCATTACACCTGCACTGTAAAAAACGTGAGCGTTTGAAGCGAGCACCATATCTCCGTGCAACAGCTTCTGGCTCAATAGTCCGCAGAATATCAAGTAAATCCTTTCTATAAACCTTTATCAGTAATTGAGCATAAATTTATAAATTAATTAAACTCAGGAATCTTAATACCGTGCTCCCATCGAAGCACAACCACCAGTGACCGTGCTCCCATATTAGGATATGCTGGTCGGAGGCTAGCAATGATTTGTGGCACATTGGCATATGCATTTGGCTGGTGCTTCTGCTGGTATGTGCCAAGCAGGTTAAGCCGCCGCCGTGCCCGGAAACAGCTTGAAACACTGGCATAGGTATGAGATGTTTTCCCTAAAGCCAGCCAGTACACAACTTACCTGATTGTATATGCCTTTCCCCGGAACTCAGGGTTCTTTGCAATATCCTCCTTTATTGCTTCTATCATGCGCTTATCACCGTACCCTCGAGTCCAGTAATGGTGGATCTTCGGATCAAGCCATTCACAAGGAGCTGGGAGCAGTATAAGGAGGATTTGCTGAATTTCACCACTGGGGGACCTACGAAGGGGCATTGCAGCTGGAAGTCAAAGGCAAGGTAGGCAAGGTAGATTGGCATTATCGATCGGGTACATTCGGTCCGTTTCTGATACTGATATATTATCTCCGGGGTCCTCATGTCAAACCCTGTCATCGCTGACACTCGGGTAACACCCGGCAACGCTGGCGGCATGTCAAAATCTGACATGACCACCTTCTGTTGCAATACACCTCTCTCCCGCTGCCGTATGACGCGTCAGATTCAAGCGCTCCAGCACTGTGCAATAATATTACACGGAAGTCCAAGTTTGGCGGTGTTCCGACTACCACGTTCCGCAGGTCCCGCGACGAGATGGTCGCCCATAGGATGAAGAGCACGACATGTGGTGGCTTTGAGTATCTCCAGCCCACGACGCGCCACGTCCGCCAATGTAGCTGTGAACGGCGCAGATTCACGCATTGTGGCACCATGATTGAGCTGCCTTGTTCGCGACTTGGCATGGAAATAGATGCTGCCAACGGAGTCAGCCTGAGGTATGCCGACGTCGACACAGCTCAATACCTGGGGTCGTGTCAACGGGATCTTCTCTCCGGCTGCATCGTATTCAGGTCGCTTGCGAAGTTTCCAAAGCGACACTGCTCGGAACGCTAACGGAAAGCAGCAGGCAACGAGTATCGAGTAGAATCACAGTACCAGCAGTGTCACTGTTACGCAGCTCTGGAATACAGGATTAAAGAGACTGGTCGATTCGATTGGATGGAGGGCAATGACAGGAAGGATCCCAAACGGACACGTAAGCTCCAGGCACGCCGCCCCGCCGCCTCGGTGATGCGCCAGAGCACCGACACGTCATCCTCAATCGGAGATTGAGCAGCAGCATTGAAGGATTCGCAAGCGCGCGCTACCTAGCTTGTGCCCTCATTTTTTTTCTCGTGCCACGCAATGGCATTACCAATGATTGATCCGACTTTCTTCTCCGCTCCCACTTCACTCTCCGCCATGATCTGGGCACGATCGCGCCTGCAGCCTTTTCTCCCCTCGACAGTTCATGTTTTGGCTCGCAGAGCCTGACTCCGACAGACGACTCCCGAAGAACGCGCTGTAATGGAACCCATATGTGTGTATTCAACAGGAAAACAAGTAGACATGGAGACTCCGAGACAAGCACTCGTGGCGATAGGTATGTGCTCGATAGCGATGGCAAGCGAAGCGGATACTGAGTACATATGCTACAGTTGTGTCTGCTGAGAGCGTTTTTGGGGGATGTGGAATGTACAGTGGGGAGAGCGGAAAGTGAGCAAGTGAGGAGAGGAAGACGATTTCAAAGCATGGTGGACAGCGAGAAAAGGGTGCGTACAAATGGTTGTGGTCAGAAGAGCATGTTGACAGATCTGACGAGCAGGAAAATGGCAGAGAAGTGAGGGGAAATCTGGAGTAAAGATGGGAGTTGTTTCGACCTAGTGCGTTATCCAGCAAAGCATTGGAAATGAATCTTGAATCCATGCACAGATCACCGGCGCGAAGAAGTGTCTCCGCAAGCGGCCGGGCAACGTGCTAGACGACAGCATCGTTAATATCATGATATGGCGCCTAATACTCGGATTTGGAAGCAACTCACTTTTGTATAACTCACGACTGCCCACCCCCGCCTTGGCTTTGATAATGCCATTGCTTATCTTCCTCCTCGCCGCTTGGTGGTGTACCCCGTCCATGTCCGTATGGCTGGCCAAACTGGGTCGAATATGGCGCCCTCAGCAGTCTTGGATCCACTAGCTGTTGTTGATGCTGGCCACGAGCCGCATTCCCAGCTCCACCAGGCCGACTATGCATATCGCGACTTGACCCTTGCTGGAACTCTTGTGGGGTCCAGGAACGAGAATGAGCGAGCGTTCTGCGAGTCTCCTGGTAACCAGCGGGGTACGCGTTCGATTGAGAGGGCGGAGGATGGGAAGGTGGTCCATAAAGATTCGCTGGCGCGGGTTGATGGTATCCGCGATGGTAAAGAGGCCCTTGCGATGGTGCACCGAACCCGTCGCTAGAACGAGAGCTCTGGCTACCTGGAGACGGTGTCGGAGATGGAGAAGGCTCCTGTTTAATGCGAGCGACAGTGTCGACGTAGAGGTGGTGGGCGTGCTGGGCTTGGGGATGGGCCAACGGCTCCTGGATATATCCTCGATATACTGGTGGCTGGGAAAGCTCTTGGTGGTGCTGGTATCGCTGCGGCTCGTATTGCTGCTGCTCGTATTCACTGCCGCTCGCAGATTCGACGTCTGTCTCGCCTGTTTCGACCTCACCATCGGAACCATCTTCTTCCTCCCCGGGGCGGCGTTTACGCTGCCGCTTGGTTCCTTCTCCCCTCGAATAATCCAAGGTCCAGTACCCTCCCTTGCCGGATTCCTGGACTGGCCGGTCAAGGTGTCGAAAAACCAGGTGCAGCGACAGGGCATGCCGAATCGAACGCTATAGGCCGTTGAGCACCGGATATTACCACGAAAAAAAGAACGGCAAACGCACCTTCCACGCAGCGTTAGACGGCCCCGCCCGGAAAAACTCATACCGCCCTTCAATCGCTGAGTATATCTCCCTCAGCGTCAATCTCTTCGTCTCGCTCTCGTAGATTGCGACCTGGACAAGAAGGGGGAGTGGCACGCTCGGCCTCGTATCTGCCGCGTAGTCCGGCAAAGCGGAGAGGGTGATGGGGACGTTTTCGGGGAGATTCAGCTTGCGACGGAGGATGGGAGCCGGGTCTGGGCCCGGCATCGGGACTGGGGGAGACTGGGCAAATGGCTCGACCGGCTGGTGAAAGGCGGCTGGCGGAAGGGCGGTTGGCATTGACGGCGACGATTGAGACCGAGCTGGTGCTCGTGTCAACTCTGGGGCCGTGCCCGCTCGACGAGAACCGCCCTGTTGCATGGGGAACGAGCTCTGCCGGGCCTGAGATTGGGAAGGATGAGGATGAGAGGATGGCGAGTATGGTGGGAGAGGAGAGCCAGCCGGGAGCTGGTGCTGGTGCTGACTATGATGGTAGAAAGCATGTTGTGGGTAACCCTTGGGAAAAAAATGTCAGTACCCACAAAAGCCAGTGGGAAGAGCCAAGGAACACACCTCTGCATAGTCGCGGTTTCGCGGGGGAACGTACGGTGCATCGTCGGTATACCGTCGCTGTGGTCGTTCTCGCTGGCCGCCGCCTTGGCTGTGATGTCCGTGACCGGTGTGCCCGCCCGGACCCCCTCCCCCGCCTGCTCCAGCTCCCTGTCCAGTCCCCCCAGGTGTGTCTTCGGCAGCATGATACAACTGCACGGGCCCCGACCAGACGGTGGCTGTCCGACTCCGAGTCAGGGTCGGCGAAGCATTAGCATAAAAAGAAGCTGCGAAAACGGGATCTGCCATTCGATGCTGACTTTGAAACTACAGCGTCAAGCAGCCCATGGTAGTAATTGAGAACCAAAAGGCAAAATCGACGCCCCGAGGCCGGAACATGTCCGTTTGCAGGATGCATACGGGCAGCCAGGGTAAATACGCGATGATGCACGTGGCGTTTGTGGGCCAGCCGGCAACGAATCGGGGATCGGCAGCAGATTGAAACACGATGATGGCACGAGGAACAGCAAAGGCAAAAGGTTAATGGGTAAGGGTCGCATCAATAACGTCAGTAAAGGATACAACAGAGATAACTGTGCCCGGGGCGGGCCGACGTACATTCGGGATCAGTTGTAAGCACCACGTTGCGTGCTGTGGGCGCGCGGGAAGCAAGTAGAGACTCGAAAGAAAGAAACACCAGTTGGGTCTCTTGAGGGTCTGTAGACGTCGCCAACACGCCGTCTTATATACCTCTCCCCCCGTTTCTGTGACATTCAGGTGCGTAACGCCTGAATCGCCTTTCGCGGCAATTCAGAAAACGAATGTACACAATCCAAATAAGCGGATTGCTGATGAACCCGTGGGACTGCCAACAGTGATCGCTCTGCGAAACCTGCCGATGATTATGGGTCCACATCAGACAGATTCCCATGTCAATGCACTACCATATGTGGTGAAGTGAAGAAAAATTGCCTTTCCTGGCGATTGTAGTGTAGGGCTGATTTCATAACTGTGAGGGGCGGATGACAGCTCGCATCAGGCGGGACTGTGTATTCTACTCACGCTCCGTCTTTCACGATACAAACTTGCTGAGCGGCAGGCGTAGAATCCCCCCAGTACACAGAACATTGAGATACATACAGAATATTGTGTTTCATTGGCCCTGCCTCCGCCTAAATATATTAGACATCATCCTTAAAAGGTTATAAAGTCGAAATATTTTACGGAGTAAACATGGAATATTAGGATGAGATTGGACTATAGTATGCAGAACACAACAAGACGTATGAAATCCTCCCTAGTTCAGATTGGCCACCTTCTTAGCCTCGACGCTCTTGATATACGCGCTGTCCCCTCCCTGACCGTGTATTCTGACCACTTTCCAACCGACGCTGGCGAGCAATCCCATGAAATGTGCCGCAGTTCGTGTTTGCGAGTTCGTAAGTAAGAACATCTAGATGACAGGATCAACACAAAACTCGCAGAGGAACGTTATCGACGACATACCGCGAAGTCGACGTTGTATGCCATATCATTCGCCCCGCCGTAGTTTGGTAATAATGGCTCCGGTGCTTCCGGCAGCGCCGCGCCGGGGATGTGGCTGGTCGTCGACGTCTCTGCGTTTTCCCGACATGCTAATGGCATGACGATGTCAAGCACCAGGAGCGTGGTGTCTGGCGTTGCGGCGTCCCAAAGCCGTGAAAAGATCTCTTTGGCGTACTTGTCGGCCCAGTCCAAAGATGCGTGTTTGATAACAAACACGGAGGCGGATATTTGAGGCTGCTCGGAGAAGAAGTTGTGGACTGAACGAGTATACGATAAGCATTCATCTATTATGAAGGAAAAAGGACAAACGTTGGAGCTGTACACGGCCGGAAGTCAGCGCGTCAGGCATTCGCTCCTCCCACATCTAAGACGATTTTAAGTAACTACTACAATGAAGGAGAATAGAACTACCTTTTTCGCATGCCCAAGAACGGCCTCTTGATCTTGCAGAACGAGTTTCAAGTTGGGAAAGCGCTCCGCCAGAGCAAAGCATGTTGTCCCAACGCCTCCGCCGACGTCAACAACAACAGCTCCTTGCGGAAGTGCAGCCCAGTCGTAAGCTTCGTTGTCATTAGTAGCAAATTCGCTCCGCGGAAGATGAAAACCAGCATACAGTTGACAATCGCATTCGGGGGCTGGAAGCCCAAGATACCCTGCATCGCAATGTCGAAACGACGCGCCTTCGTTTGAACTTCGGGTTTGGCAAAGTAGGCCCACATTGTCTCGCCCCGTTCGAGCTTCATAGCGCGTGCAAACGGCGACAGACTCGGGTCGCCTTCAGCGGGATCGCCGTCGCAAAGTGTCTCCCAGGCATTGGCGGATGCTTTGAAAACTTCGTCAAGACTGTCAATGTCAGTCAGTATAAAAGAAGCCGACTAAACACAACGCAGAAGGAATATGACCGTTGACGAGAAGAATAACGCACTGGTGAGCTGCAACCGCGGCGAGGCCCGAAGTTGCTTCGTACTTGGTGTCAGGACTGGCAGATATGAACATAAGCGCACAGCCGGTCGACAGAGAAGCATTACACACCTCTTGAGGATCTCTTCGCTCGATTTTCCGGTGTCCAGCATACTTGAGAGCCGCGTATTGGCGAATACATTGGGAGAGACTTCGCGATAAACGTGGTGCGTTGCAAGGTAGCGTAAGAAACGTGCTGGAATGAGATCAGATGAAGTGGAGTGGACGTCGAGTTGAAACAGAGATAGAAGGAGTAATTTCAAAGAAACACGAACCGAGTTTGTCTGCGTCCTGTCCATTCTTCGCGGCTATTTCGGAAGTGCTGAGACCCTGTAAACAATGTTGTTTTGAGCGGTCCGAGCGTAACGACAAACATACCTCAGGGCCAGCTTCACGCAAGATCTCGGTTACACCTGACTCCAAACAGATGCGCAACGCGGCCGACTTGAAGTGCTGGAAAGGGAGGCGTTGGTGATGGCCAAATGGTTGAGGGAAAACGAGCACGAACCCCGTCAACAACACGGAAAATCGAAATTTGAGGGGGTGCAAGGATTGCGTCAAGATGGAGTGCGGCAGCGCTGACGATCCTCGCAGCTTCGGCGGCTTCTGGGATGGCTCTGAATGCTTCTGACTCGAGGCTGAACGGTGTGTGGAGGTCAGGAATTGGGGCAGCGGCAGCGGCCGCGATACATTCTAGGCGCTCGACGTTCTCGGTGAGCAAGGAGAGTAATTGGCGGAGAGGGCTGGGTTGTTTCGACTTTGCAGAGTCCATGGTCGTTCGGGATACACTGGAAACCCTGCATAGGAGTGTTTATATATCGGTGGAACAACCCGATAATGATAACGCTTCGCATTAGGTCCTGTAAGGGTCCGTAATCAATCCGGCGGGTTGGACATGTGTCTCAAAAACGGCGCCGCTAGTCGTGTTTTGGACGAGCAGGAAGCTGGCTGCGAGGCTGTTGCGACGACCAAGCCGTGATATAGAGCTAATGGACCGCGTTAGCGATGTCGAAGCGAAGCCTGGGCCATACCGTCAGGTATCAGGTGAGGTGAGTTATCCAAGTGGGGCAAGCTAGTCGTGTCGCGAATCAGCCTGGAGATGCGAGGCGCAGCCAGATGAAGAAAGAACAATACTGGTGCAATAGAAACGTTAACGTTGGGCTTTGTATGCCAATTCTGCACGATAGAAGAGAAGATGAGCGGAGAAGGAAAAGAAGCGTGGGAATGAATACGTCAGAGGCCGAAGATCTTCATGATTGATTAGCGAACGGATTTGAGCCTAACGTGAGTTCGATATGAGCGGGCATGCGTTTGATATTGTCTTCTTCCATTCGAGAACTCCATAATCGTTCACGATAATGAGTGGCTTCACGACAAATTATCCAACACGATACTGTAGCATTTTATTCAGTTCGTATGTCACGTGTCACAGTAGCTATAAAATTCGAAATTTTTTCGTATGTCACACCATTTTGCTCAAAATCCTCTCCCAAAAAGGCAATTTATGACATTTCCGGGCGCCTCCGGCGCCAAGAGTTTCCTAATTAGGAAATAATTCGAATTGATATTTTCGTATTGAATGTCACACCACTTTTGGCATTCGAATTGAATAAAATACAACAGTACCTATTCCGATCCATCAGAGGAACAAACCCTTTACTAGATGTACTAGGCTACACTTGGGATCGGATATAGCCGTCCGAGGACTGCACCGGCGGTCCAGTCATCTAACGCCATTTCAAAGATTTTTAGCGCCGCTACAACTTTCAAGTTGGACCCACATAAGACTTGGTATGATAGCCGCCTTATCTACTTCCGCTAATTTCGAATACTATGGAAGAAGGATTGTTGAGATCAGTACACGACGCCAATAAACACTGGTTAGTAATACTGTCTGTATATGTGCTAGAGTAGTTTAAAGAAATCCGAAATGCATTCCTAAGGCAAGGCCGCACTGACACTTGCCCCCGCCATCCCGCCCGTCGGCAACGCGATATTCACCACCCTACTTTTCACACTACCCCATCCAGCCGGTGCAGTCCCGCTCAATAACGTGAAGTTGAGTACCAGTGGCGCCGTGATCGTCTGTGTCGGATCAGCAGCCCAAACCGTCCAACTATCCATATGCAAAATCAACGCCGAATTCGCATTCGCCTTGACCTGTATGCTCGCAACGCCGCTCTTCTGCGACGGAAGTGTGAACGTCGATCCGGCCGCGGTCCAGAACGCGATGTAAGCAGTATTATGCGCGACGTCGATCAGTGCCGAGATCGACCCGTCGTTCCGCACAACTTGTAAAGCGCTTGGCTCCGCAGCGGCCCGCGCGGCGAACTGCGCCTGTGTCGTGCCGGGGTACATCGCATAGGTCGCAGATTGGCTGATGTCGTGATGCGGCAGGTAAGCAGTGAACATGTCGACAGTATTTGGTGCCGCTTTCGAGCTCCCGATCGCCTGCCAGTTTCCGGTCTTCGGCCCGAGGGTGACCGACAGCGAGGTCGCAGGATTGGTCGCGTTGAAGGTGTATCCTGTCCCGGCATGCCACAAGCTACTTGCGCCTGTGACATTTGCACTCGCAGATATGGTGTTTCCGTTGACAAACACGTCGCCGCCGCGCACCCGTTGGTCCAGCACGCTATACACCGGCGCGCTTGTCGTTGATGTGATTAAAGCGATCATGACAAACACGATGTCGCCCTGGAGGAAGAAGTATGTCTTGCGCCACGTCATCGCACGCGTCGTTGGGTTATCGTACCGCATCGCCGCCATGCCCACTGTCCCATCTGAGACACCGCCAACGTATGGCTGGATCCCAGACTTGCGCGCAGTCGAGCAGCTCAGCGGAGTTGCACCATAATCGACTGTGATTCCAGGGATAAGGTTCCAGTCCCAGGCGGAGAAGACATCCTGGTACTAGTAACACAAATATCAGTCTTGTCAATATCTATTCGAAGAAAAAAGTGCACCTCATTGCCTGTGGTATACGTGTACATGGCCCCATCCGCGAGATGAAAGCCCAGCATGTTCTGGTTGTTCACGCATTCCGTATTCTGCGTGCGCTTGCCATACATCTTCAGCGTCACCACGTAGTTACTTCCCCGATGGACCTACCACATAAGATCAGATAACGGCAGATAAAGATAAGATAAGTGCACAGACCATGTAATCGTTGGTGTAGAACATCCGATTTCCGACGAGGCCGCCGGGATTAACCCCGGTGCCCGTGTTAAGCGCGTTGAATACGCTCGTGATGTCGCTCGAGCCCCACAGACTGCCAAGAACCTGGAATTCCGTGATGTTCAGCTCGGTATCAGCGGCTTGTCTTGTTTGACGGTCATTACAATGGCGAGACATTGAACAAGGGCACATACTGTTTATCCGACACAGGCTGTGCGATATTCCTTCCAATAACTGTCTGCTCAGAGTCAGCACTCAACTCCAAACTTGACGATAGACGATCGCACATAGTCCCAATGAAGTACGTTAGTGACTGTGTTGCGGAAGATCATCCACCAATCCTTGCCGCATCAATCAGCAAACGCGATAGGGCAGTGAATAGAAGGGAGTCGACATACTGCGGTCAACAACGCTGTAAACGCAGCCATTGAGGAAGAGGTGGCTTGGAACTGTGTCCCGCCAGCGGCAATCTCGAGGTTAAACACGTCATCAGCATAGTCCTTTCCATATGCCCCGTTATACAAGAGGCCGGCATGCTGTCCGAACGCGCCGTCGGCCCGGATCCCGTCTGCGGCAACTGCGTTCTGCACCTGCAGATCACTGTGCGCCGCGGCGTACCCCCGCGCTGACCACGCTCGCGTTAGCCGAGAACAGGCCGAAGTCGATCCCGATGGATGCAATGTCAAGCAGGTTTGCGCCGGTGATCGCCGATACGCCGACAACGCCGGTTTGCAGTGTGTTAAAGGCGCGCGAGGTCATGCGCGTGCATCCGGCAAGCTCAGCCGCAGAGAGACCGGTAGATGATGATGGCGGTGTGTTTAGCGAAAGACAGACTTGTCCGACCCATTGCGGGATAAGAATGACATTTGAGAACCAATTGGTATTCCTGGAGGAACTGGAGTCGGCACACACACACAGGGAGATGAAAAGTGGCGAACCATAGCCCTGGAGTTCCGCACTGACATGCTGCCGTGCCGCCCTGATCAAGACACGCAGGTGTAGTGAAGTCATTGTTGAACCAAAAGATCATTGCCCTTGATGCTGCGGCACGGAGCGTGGTGTCGCCTGTCCAGTTTGCCGCATTCTTGAATCCCCCATGGAATGCCGACGCGAACGTGTCTGTCGGGAACCAATTAAGAGGGAAAATAAGTAAATTCTAATAGATATCACTGACTGATCCGCGACCAATGCGTCTGTGCCGGCCAGCTGCTCGTGCTCGCGCTACAGCCGGTGGTATAGTCGACGTCCGGCCAGGTGCCGTCAGCCTGGAGACTCGAAATCCTGGCAGCCCGGCATCACATCAGAAGATGAAGAAGCCGTATGGTCACTTGCAGATGCTCACCAGGTCGCGATATTCGCCGCACCCGTCGAGGAGCCAACGATATTCGATAAACGACGCTGGCGCACGATGTCGATGTCGCTTTGGCCGTGCACAAGCAGCGGAAAGAGCGTGACCGCAAGCGCAAAAGAAGGGGCCGATGCGGTAGAGAGGCGCATGGCTGAGGGTGAACTTGAAGCTTGCTGGGCCAACAAGCTCTGGAGACTCTCTTTATAACATACGGCCAGACGCCAGGCCAAGTCACCACGCCCGAAGTGGCAACCTCGCGAGAACTTCGTTGTCTTCTCCCAGGTTGCGGTTCGCACGCTGATATTAGAATGTGGGGAAAAATGCTGGTTTTCGCTTGATTTTCGCATCGCGTCCGAAGCGCGCCATCAGATCCGCCCCCGTCGAGGCCCGCTGAAGATGCAGGCTGAATCAACTGGATGAACCTCGTCGTAAATTGGTCGGTGCTGCAATATCCACTGGGAAGAAAACATTGAAGAAAACGAGGCCTTCAAGTTGATAGCGCCCGCATTTCGCAGATAACCTCTTCGATATCAACACACCAAAATCACGGATTTGAGACTCGGAGATGACTCACCGTGTTCGTCGGGCGGCCTCTGCCCCCCGCCAAGCCGTCGAAAGCTGGCGTTGTCCGCTCTGCCCGAGTGTGAGTCATCCTTGCGCCGGCATTTCGTGCGTAAGTAAACCGCGCTGAATAGTCATTGACTTTGAATGATGCTCGAGATCAACTCGAGATTGAAGAGCGGTGGCAGAAGACGTGCCAAGAACTAGCGGCGGACAATGTCTTCCGTGTTGCCGAACGCGAGCTCGTACAGAGTCATCCAGGAACCATGGGCACAGTCAAACTGGACACAATAAGGTTCATGATAGCCTGAGGATAGAAAAGCGCGCGGTTTGCAAGTCATTGAGTTTCGACTCCGAGATCTGTGAATGATGTCGTCCAAAGAGCTGGTCCAAGCGGCTGGTAATGACTCGAAATCTAAGCGCGAGTCGATATAGCGGGCTTGCGAGACGCAACCGATGCGGGTTGATTCGGCCTTGGTAAGAACAGTGAGAGGCAAACCTGTCGCTGTCACATCCGAGTCACTGACTCGATAACCGAATGTGCACGTTCGATTCCCTCAAAAGCCACTAATTACAATACTTGATTTGATTTTAACCCCGACTTTGTGAGAGAGAATACATCATTCGTATCTTATTGAGTAAATGCCTGAGCTTGCACATTATAGAGGGCCGCATACTCCCCGCCCAGTTGAATAAGCTCCTGATGTGTACCGACCTCCGCGACCCTGCCTTCCTTCATACATCTGGCAATACGTCAGTGCGACGATAACAGAGACAGGATGCAACACACATAATGACATCTGCATGTTTTGTCAGATGACCAAACCGATGGGTCACGAATATCTTTGTCATGCCCTGGCCCGACTCGCGCAGCCGTTGGAAAAGCTCGAACTCGCCGAGGGGGTCAAGCGCACTAGATGGTTCGTCCACGCAGAGCAGCTTGACACCTCGTAGTTGCAGGCGCATGAAAGTACGAGACCTATTCCAGAATATTAAAACAAACATTAAAACTTAAGAAAAAAAATGCATACGCAATTAATCGCTGCTTCTCTCCACCAGAGACATCTACCCGCTTGTCAATATTTCCTATGAATTCCTTGGTATCCTTGTGTCGGTTATTATCCAGGCCCTGCTCGGAAACTGTTGACACCGGCTCTAACACGGTCAAGTCTCCGTCCTTCAGTCGGTCAATCAGCTGTGTCGCGCCGCCGGCCGTGGCCGCCTCCCTCACGCGGACTTGGTCAAAAGAGGACTGCCTGCCCGTGTAGTTGTCCAAGTCGGACACCGAGCCCAGCCCGATATTCTCGCGGAGCGGAAGAGGGAAAAGTTGGTGATCTTGGGCCAGGTGCGCTTGCGCCCGACGCAAGTCGCCCAATTTGTACTCCTGAATTGGCAAGCCGTCAATGAGAATGACAGAATCAAGCTTCTCGGAGTTGCTTGCGTTGTTGACATCGTATAGTCGCGCAAGGAGCTTGATAAACGTAGACTTTCCACTCCCGTTGACCCCGACAATAACTGCAAGTGCTCCCGCAGGGATGGACACAGAGACATCAACCAACGCGTTGCCGTGAGATTTGCTTCCGGGATAAGTAAAAGAGATGTTTCTAACCAAACCATAAAACAACAATGAAGGAATTGGGATTGGCACAAACTTGAGCTTTATGTCCATCCCCTTCGAGTTAATCCACTCCCACTCTGGTCGCGGGTATCTCTTTTCGCCGTCGATAACAAGATTGGTCACGTTGTCGACGTCGTAGAGGGTCTTGATGTCAGTTATGCATTTCGCTGACTGTCCGAATTCGAAGAGCAGCATCCCCACGGTACTACGCACACTCGCCGCGTATTGCGTGAGAAAAGCAATCGAGGCCATGGAGAATTTGGAGGGCTCCAAGAATGCGGAGACAGCCCAGTAGATCTATGGGAGATGATATATATGGGCAATCTTTCAATAAATAGTCAAGACTCAAGACCTACCATAGGCAGCTGATCTACCACTGCAGAGGCCATTGTAACGAGTAGGCTCGTTTGGTTGGCGTATTGTATCCATGCGTGCTCCGTTGGCGTAGTACCCAATGCGTTCCGCGCTCGGCTATATTCTATATTTCAGAATCAATCGATGCGTGTGATCGATGGAGATAACCTGAGAACCCACCTGAGCCTATCCAACCAGCCATCCCACCAAGAACAACGTCCGTCCGCGCTGGTCCTGTGGTCATTTTCTTCAACGCCTGGAGTTTTTTATATGACTCGTTGTCGGAGTAAATGGCATGAGCTGCGCGATTGAGTTAGTCGCCAAGGAAGAAGTGACAATCGGCAGACATACGGACAAAGAACAGCGCCCTTTGCGCCTTTAGATTTATCAACGGATGCAGGAGGCTGATTCCCGTGAAAATATATCCGCCATTCCTCTGCTGCGAAATGAAAATCATCTCGCTCAAGAGGACCAACAGTTGCATGCTCATGTCGCATAGTACTTCGAAGGCCATGAATGCTTCTGCAGGGTTTGCGCGGGATGTATTTCGCGTGTCTCGTACAATCAGTCAGCTGGACATACAAAAACAGAGAGAAGGCGTACCCTCTGACGTCGGAATATCCAAACGAAGGTCGGCTTAGAAACGGCTTTTTGAAGACGACAGTTACGAGACAGAAAGTGTGGCTTACCACGAAGGAGTATATCTTGAAAGTGTAAAGTGATTCGGGATTGGAGCCTGGGCATTAGGAATGCTCTAGGTGACGGCTTAGCATTCACAAATCACGATCATAGTCATCGAGCAAAGGTTTATTGCATACCGGATCCACTTGGTTGCTGCAACCGTCACAACACATAGTAGGCGAATCGAGATGGCGGAAGCCATAGTCCACGCATCCAGTCTGCCGTCTCGAAGACCAACCTCCACCTATACACAGTTGGTGACCTTCCAACCCCAGATTTAGCCTGACTTACCACAACCAGCAGTTTGCTCGCCGCCCAGAGCAACAACACATTCTCCAGCCCAGCCCACAGCTTGATCGTCAAAAATACGCCAGTTAGCACTGGGTTCAGTTTGTATATGTCACCGAAGAATCTTGCGACCGCTGGGTACCCGTCCGCAATAGCGGACACCATGGTCGTATTGAGCAAGTCCCAGAAGACACGTCGTGCAGAACTGAATCCTGAGCCGCTGCCCTTAGAGGAATCTTCGGGCAGCAGAACGCGCCATACGCCCAGTTGCAAGCTGTGGGGTTTAGAGGAAGCAGCCATGGTTGTGTCATTGCCACCAGCATCAGCGTTAAAAATGGACCAGAAAAAGCTGTGCACTGGATGACAGATCGGAGTCTGTCGACCATGTGATCTTATCGGGTTCAGCGCGCGCCGGTTTGAAGATATTGAGTATTGGTGGCATCTAAATCTAAATGGAAAGCTGATTCGGATTTGTGAAGCTGCTCAATGATAAATTCCGCGTGTGACCGCACTAGAACTTGATTGAATATGGAAGGAAATATGGCGAGGCTTCTCCAGATATTTGACAGACAGCGAAGCCCTGCCAATCGACCAGGCGCTTCTGAAAGGCGGTGCACGGCGATGGCAAACGTATACAGAAGAGCACTGGCGATTGAATTACCAAGAAATTATTCGACTCGTGCTACTTCGGCTACGTAGAGCAAAACTATCATTGGCCAATATATGCTCCGACAGAGGCCCAGAATCTGGGTGGATCGTGTCAAACAAAAGCAGTTGTCCCCAGCGTAATATGCACTCACCTGCAACGTTCTAAGACTTGCTTATCTGTCTCCCGCGCATGTATGAACGGCCGTTGTCCGCTGACAGGCCCATCGGTCCTGTTAAAAACCATCTCAATCGGCGATCTGGTGCTCCACTTTCGCCAGTGGGGGGTGACAGTGCTAACTGCATTGTTTGGATTGCCGGAAGAGACATATGCAGTGAATCCCTTTGCGAACGCGTCGATGAACACGGTGTTGTTGAAGAATTCGGGGTAGTTAAGCACGGGAACGTCAACCACAAGGGAGGGGAAGTAGTATTGCAGGTCGGTTCCGTGATGTCCCGGGGGAATGGCAAACACGCCTCTGTAGGCAGAACCGGGAAAGGCTTGGGCAAGACCATATGCAGGGCAATCGAAAACGGCTGTTCCGCTATGAGCAAATTCGTTCTATAAGATGATGCTTGTTGCAACCCACTTTCGCCATAGAGCGCGATAATCTTGTCGGCAGTCGAGCCGACATGTGCGTAAAGGCTCTCGATTCGGGGTCCATATTCGAGCGGAAGGTTGGGGAAAACTTGGAATGCATATCGGGAAACGCTAGTCGCAACAGGAAAACTCGTGTTCACGAACAACCACCCTTCAAAGGCAGTCGCGACGGTGAGCAGCGATTTCTGATTAAAGGTTAGTTGGGAACTTGGTTGCACCAAGACTACTCACTCCGTTGACCTTTCCGGCATTCAACGCTTGTATCGGGCCCTCTTGGATCAAGGAATCCGGACCGGGACCCTCAACCACTGGACCAAATGCATAGACTCCGGGAAAGGTGTATGCGTTAAGTTCCACGTCTATTGTGTGGAGCACAGTCGCTGGGACTTGTCGAAGACATTCGAGTGTGTCGTTAGCGTTGGTACAACTGACCAGACAATAAGTTTTCCCGCAAAGCGACTGAGAATATTGCATACTTTGCCTGAGATACGACGGAATCGTATATAAACTGCAGGTCTAGTCAGCTATTTTGTCCGAATCGTACAAGAGGAGCATACCTGAGGAATATGCTCATCGTAGCGATACTGGGAGGGCGTGAAAGGCGAACTCGCTATAGCGTATTTGAACAACGGGGGATTGGTCTTGCCCCCATTGGCGATGACCTGTTGTAAAATGGCACCTCCCCCCGCAGACTCGCCCCAGATCGTAACATGATCTGGGTCACCGCCGAACTGAGAAATCTGGAAAGGGTTCAATAAAACATTTTTGCGCGATATATCAGGTCGTCCATACGTATTTCTGGACCCATCGAAGAGCGAATTGTTGGTCAACTATATGGATGCATGGTCAGAGACAGTTTCCTCAGAGGACATAAACACGTACGCAACGCAACATTCAGGTTTCCATTAGCCTTGACCTCTGTCCCTGCGAGAAAGCCTAGAGGTGGTGTTAGCACGAAAAAAAAGAAATATCGACTAGCGCCCACCGAGAAGAGCAAGACGATACTGAATGACGACGACCACAATGTCTTCATCAGATTCCTCAATGAGGTCGCTCCCGCGAAACTGGCTGGACGACCCTGCGAGATACCCGCCGCCATGGATCCAGACAACGACCGGGAGTTTGTATGGTGTGGTCCCAACAGAATTGCTGGGATAATAGACGCTTGAAATGTCAAGAAATGAACGCTGCAATTATGTACTATAACATACCTCAAGAACAGACAATCTTCGTCGGAGACATTGGTCGCGCCACGCTTGTGAAGATGCTCGAGTGAACGTTGACTCGGAGTTGCCGATAGCTGCGACGGGTTGGAAGAAGACGTGGTCTGATTCTCGCGGAAGGGGTTCGTGCTGAGCAGGCCTGCTACTTCGATTTGCCAGCATCGCGGGGGTTGCATAGTAGCTTGTTGGACACCCGAGACGGAGGCTGGTGCTTTTGGAGCCCGGAAGCGACCATTACCTATGATTTGACTCGGAGTTAGCATTGAAAGGAGAACTCAAATGAGTAAACAAGTACCGGTCGGTGAGGCTGCGTAGCGCACACCCAAAAAAGACGTGATATTCGTCGCAGGGTCGACGGAACCTTGGTATTTGGCATAGCCGAGGTCGACCATCGGAGCAGAAGGTGCACCGAACGCAGAATTTAGAAGCACTGCTGCCAGGAATGATAATTTGAAGAGACCCATCGTTGCTGAAGTACTTTTTGGTGAGTTGTTGGAGCTGGGAAAGAAACGGGAAGTTCTTCTTGCTTATATACCTACGAGATGGGACGGGGCCGATAGCGAGTCATTGGCATCCCTCTTCGTAGGTTGACGGCATATTTTAAATCTTCAATGCTTCGTGAGTTTCGTCCAAAAGCGTCGTTGCGCAAGTAGCGGGTGGACTTGACCCTAGGTAAGGCTAGGTGAAGCTGTGCACAGAAGTCACTTGAAATAGGCTGACCAATGGCCTTAGTGAGGACGGAACCAGGACGGAACCGAATGTGGAACCGAAGCAAAGTCGAGAATGGCCAAGCGCTGGCAAGAGATGACATCAATCGTGACGGGCCGGCCTGTGTCAGCAGTACAGAGTCAGCAGATAGGAGTGACAGCCCGGATTTAACTCTTGACACCCACCATGACTTTCGAAAAAACCTACCTGAAAATTCCTTCTGCAACGAAAGGATGGGATCTCGATGCATGGCAATACCTCCCCATATCATCCTCGAGCACGCGACTGCCCGTCATCGTTATGTATGCTTTTTCCGTCGCACATCCGACGCGCTCGCCAAGGCTGAAATTCATCCAGGGCTCACGGTCTCTCCGCGGATAAGACGATGGGACTTGAAGCATACGGGGAGGCCTTTTCGACGGCGGGATATGGGTGCATTGTGTTTGACTACCGCCGTTGGGGTACTTCTGGCCAGTAACTCTCCGTTTCCATTTTTCGCCTTGTTTACGACTTTGTAGATGGTGCGCCGCGGAACGTTGTGGTTGTAAAGGAGCAGCTGGAGGACTACCGCACTGTCATCAAATACGCGAGACAACAGGCGCAATTTGACCCGCAGCGAGTGGTCATTTGGGGATCCAGTTTTTCTGGTGTGTCTCGTTCCGATCATATCTGGTGCTGATAATGGCGCGAATCCAGGCGGGCACGCGATTACGCTGAGCACCCAGGTTGGTGTTTGGACGCGCTCTTCTGCTTGCCATGGCTGAATCTCGCAGCCTGCTGTCAATGCCTGTGCTGCTCTTGCCCAATGCCCTTACGCCGGTGTCTATCCTTCGAACCCATTCGGCTGGACCTATCTCATGACGGTTGCTTTCATGCTGCTGGATCTCCTTAAACAAGCACTTGGCCTTCCTCCCGCGTACATTCCTGCGGTTGCAAAGCCAGGTGCAGTAGGCGCGCTTACGAGTGAGGGCACCGTTACTGGGATGATGACCCTTGTATCACCTGAGTCGTGCGTAACTTCAAATTCACTTGTTAAATCCTCAGTCTGACGAGTTCAGGCAATACACCAACCAAATTTCTGCATCTTCACTCTTACAAATACCGCTGTATCAACCTCGCTCTAAAGCGAAGGAAATCGCTTGTCCGTTACTCCTCTTCGTTCCCACCAAGGACAACCTTTGTCTTCCCGCTGGTGCGAGAGAGGTCGCGGCCACTGCTCCAGAGGGTCGTTGCCAGCTGGTGGAAGCTGAATGTAGGTTTTTCTCTGTTCAAAAGAGACGACTTTTTTCACCAATTGTAGGCGGCCACTTTGACATTTATCACGGAACTTCGCACTACAAACAGGCTCTTACTGCGCAATTGGCATTCCTTGCAAAACATGTACCGCTTTGATAGTCCTTGTTACAACGATTCAAATAATTCTACTTTATTCTCAATTGTGCCACACTTGTAAACATCTTCCTGCAATCTGCTGAATGGAAGGTCACTAATTCGAAGTCGCGCCAATTGTAGTCGGGCAGCTGGGTTTTGATCAAGTGGCGGATGGCCCAGGCGAGGTAGTAGCCGACTTGACAGTGGGTGACCTTGCGATGAGCACAGTTGAGATAGAGGACGTCCTTCGTCTCAAGCAAAACCTCGTCCCTTGGGTTTCCAATAATGACGAAAGTAACCTCAACTGGTAGACCCGTGTTCTCCGGATGCCGCACCCATTTGCAGTGTGCATCCGAGATCTGGCTGATGCGACGAAACTCGAGCAGGTCGGCGATGAGAACATAGTGCTTCTGGCTGGATGGATGACGTGCGGCCGTGCTGACTGAGCGGGGCTTGTACCAGAAGTAGTTGACCATCATGCTCCCCTCTTCGACGGCGAAGTACGGCCCGTTCAAATTAATCTTGTCCGAGCCGGGATGCTTCATTTGCGTGTATTTAAAGTGGTCCGTGATAATGCATTCGGCGCATTCTGAAGACGGTGGGGCGGGAGAGGCGTTACCCGAGCCAAATTGGTGCAAAGAGAGAAGGGAATACGGATGGGTGGGGTGTTTCGACGGCGCGGAGTCGGGAAGGGTAGGAAGTGGAGGGAGCCCACGACGTTGTGCCAAGGACATAGGTGGTTGTGGTAAATGAAGATTGCTGTCCAGAGGAGAGTATTCAGCGACTGGACACCATGGGCGATATGCGGCAGTGGAAACGTGAGGCGGAATGGAGGGCTGAGTTGCGAAAGAGTTTGTAATCCTTCGTGCGAGATCGACAATGTTTTCTCCACAAACGAGTTTATCTGCGGGATAAGCCGCAGAGTTCTGAGAAGTCTAGGAGCCCATTGAATGCTGCGAGGGACAGATTTGACTGCCACTTACCAACTGGTTAGGATAGGACATCGATGAGGGGAATTCAAATGATTGGGAAGATAGCGGGCTTTTCGCGAGGTTTTATGGATCCAGAGTGCCGTTGCGCTTTGAACAGCAGGACAAACCACCATGGTCAAAGTGTTCAAAGCGCCAATTTTGAATGAACGTCGTCTTTGTCTATGCATGGTGGGTAAAGTTGGCATGGTAATGGGGAATAGTTGCTTGAGCCTTGAAGCTATTGCGCCCTCGAGAGCGCGAAGACCTTCAGTCCTTGACATTCTTGACCAAACCTTGGATGTGACGGGAGGCTTAGTCAGCGTCACCATCCCTAATCAAAACCCTCAAGGATGCAACCTTTAGATTGACCCGGTACACCAACGTGATAAGCTGTGGTGTGACGAGTGATGAGAAGCCCCCGAGTACCGTAAGCCACGTCAAGTCACACCCATGTCACGCGTCAACAAACCACCACCTATCTCGACGACTACTCCACCTCTCGCGACCAAAAACATACGCGCAGAATCGCCTCGACGAGCACTTCACGAATATGGCGAAATCTCATCGCTCAAGCTGCGGCAATACGTCTATATCTACCCTCAAAGCTTGTCCCTTCCCCAATTACCTCAAGACCAGCGCCGCTGTCGCTGGAAGCTCGTCCGTTGTGACGAGGGCCTGTCGGAACGCGTCTCCGTCGTGCCCCAGCAACGATACCATGCCTTACTCAGGCTTGGGACACGAAATTTCTTGGTGCAAGGCCAGTATGGTTCGTGCCCCATGAATGACTAAGTTTTTGGGCTGTTTGGGACACGAAGGCGCTGCGTAATTAGCCAGGGTGCGCGAGTATCGGCTTCCGACTATTTTGGGTGCCCCGAGGACTGACCGACATCTGTTTGGTAGTAACCTTCTCTATCAGTCGACAAACTCATCATTGCTCGGAGGTTAACTACGGCTGTTTAGGCGCATCAAATGTGCCGATGCGAAAGGGACACGGTACGTCGTCAGTCATACTTTTGGACGCGTTTGTTTACTTTTCTCACAGTCGCGCATCGCACACGGCTTGTGATGATGTTACTTGTGACATCTCCTATTTTCCCGTTTTCCTTCTCGACACACCATGTCTGCAACGTTTTTCACACTCAGCAATGGTGCAAAACGCCGCAAGACCTCTCATAACAGCACCTCACAGATCTGTGTCCAAGCCGGGTCAGCAACTGAAGCAGGGCCGACACCCACCCTCCCAAACCCGTTGAGCGATGCAAGAACACCGGGCTGGGATTCTGATGTGGCGGCTTGCATGGCCGAACATACCACGGAGATGGAGGTATTTTGTCTCCTACCTTCTCTGCGCTTGGTTGTTAACCCACCACAGGAAAATATTCTCATCAACATTGAACTTAGCGATGCAGATGCCTTAATGGAGCGCGCTGATGAATACATCGCCGCAAATCTTGACGACTTTCCCGAAGAAGATGCCAACGATTCGCTTGCTCAATTTGCGACCAAGATGGCCCGGAACAGCATCACCGATTCGACGCGCTCTTCCCATGTCCGGTATGCTATCCAGTGTATATCTTTCACCATTCTGAATCATTTACAGCATCATCAAGGCATTTATTATCTTCCATTTGCGTCGCAATCGAAACTGGGACCCGCGACAAATCAATGAAGATACCCCGCGTGATGTTACCCTGTATATCGCCCAAAAGTGCGGCCCGATGACGGAAGGGTATGAGGGTCGAAAGGTATGGGTAAATGTGTTCAACGCTCTAAGTTTGTACTAATCTACAAAGTTCTCGACGGCCGTTTCAACACGCGCAGCCCTCACGCTCTGGTATCGAAGCCTTCGGCCCCATGAAAGCTTAAACGAATGGCGCCTCGATGAAGGCTCAAATACTTGGTATGTTGCCGACTTTAAATCTGCTCTTGAACCGCCCACAAGGCTGAACCGCCCTTGGATCCCTTGTGTGGCGCTTCTTCCTCCCTCATTTACTACCCAATTATCTAATCACTATGTAGGCGTGGTCTTCCAACACGATCCCCATTCGTGTCGCGGTTCATGCTTGGTCTTGAGAAGACGAAAGCCAAGGCCGGGGAGATCTCACACTCAGCTCGAGCTATGCGTCTCGAAGACATGCATCGATTATATGAGCAATGTATCAAGAAGCCGTCCGACACCCTGAAAGCGGCCAAGAGTGCGCGGGACCGTGCTGGGGCAATGCAAGAGCAGCGTGCCGGTGTCGTACGCTATGTACGACTTGTTTACTTGACTTTGCACAGCCTAATCATATTATATAGGCCGCCTATCTCATCGCATGGCTGATGCTACTTCGGGTAGACGAGGTTGTAAATCTTGAGTTCGAGAATATTGAACATATCCCCGCTGAACGTAAGTCTGTTTGACTGATCTTTCTTTCTTTCTTACCGTCCACAGGGAAGTACTTCGATGTCAAGCCCAAGACGCGCAAAACAGCACAAACAGGCGTTGGCCATGGCTGGCGCCTCCATGCCAATGACAGCGACCCTCGAATCTGTCCAATGCGGGCATTAATCCGGCTGGCGATGGTCTACAAGTCATCGGGCATCCAATGGAGTGGGCCAATGTTTTTACAGGTTGCTGCATCTGGTGCAATACAGCAAGATCGTCCATTGGTCAGTTTCCATCATTCACTATCATTGCTCAGAGCGCTCATAGTCTATATAGACCTCAAGTGTCTTGAGCCGTGCGCTTAGTCGGGATCTGCAAAATCTTGGATACAGCACTTGGGCGCTGTACGGTACACATTCATTTCGACGAGGCGGATGTCAGTACCGTGTTGAGGTTCAGAAGTGGCCAATTGCACGCGTTGCGACATGGGGAGGATGGTCATTGCTGGAGGCAACAACAATGTTTCGTTACTTCTATTCACCAGACGATAACCACGAGCTTATGTACGATTACGATAGAAACTACTAATTGTATTTGTTTATCTAACCTAGCTATGTGACTTGATATTCTTTGCAAACTTAGACAGGAAACTTGATAAATGAGTGCTTCCGTCTTCGACTTCGAGACGTTCGATAATCTCGGGGGAGTCTTTGTGATTCTTCAGTACCTTGCTCGCTGTCTCAGCGGCATAGAACGTTGATGACCCAATATCGAGTGCCTTCCAAATCAGTGAGTTCTTAACTTTCTTTGTCGTCTGTAAGGCCTTCAGTGGTGTCATGAATAACTAAATTTTTAAGCAAACCTTGTTTAATTGAGTGTCCCGATACTTCTCGCCGACAAACGCGATGAAATTCCAATGCTCTATGGCCTCTTGATTGTCCATCTGTCTTCCACGACGACGGATAAACCCCTTATAACCACTTTCCTTCGAAATCTCTCCTTCTAGCCACGCGACATTAGCTTGCTCAGCCACTGATTTCACTTGGTGGCGTTTCTTGGCCTGATGGAGGGGAACAGCGTTGGGATCTTGAGTGCTGAAGACCTGTTCAGCGTCATCACTGTCGTTGTCAGAGTCGGAGCTGAGGCGTCGTTTCTTTGGAGTGAATGTAAGCTGGTCAATCAATGAGATCACGCTCAGATACGACCGTTGAGACCGTTGAGACTCACTTCATCAGATTCCACCTGCAAGCGAAGTTGGTTGTTGACAAAAAGTGGTAGAAATTCAATTCCGGGAGTAAATGTCGGTTTGTCCAGAGTATCAGTAGAGAAGGTTGCGAATACAGTCCAAAATTCGTGATCGTCGGGGTCCTGGCACAGCATGCGAACGTTATGACCTGAAGGAAGATCAGCGCAAGATAAGATTAGCACGTAGCACACACCTTGTAGCTTTAACGTTGACCCCTGCATAGAAACAAGGACTTCTTGGGCGTTCGCACACCACAGATCTTGCCCGTTGATTTCCTGTTTCTCGACTGCTATCGAAATGATACCGGATCGTTTGGTTCCGCCGAACCTCTTGTCATCGAGGAACACTTTAATGTTGACTTCGGAGACAATCTAGTATCTAATCTCAGTCCCAACGTTCAGTGTAGTTTTTCATTTGACCTGATTATTGTCAAGCTTCTCGTTGTTGTCGGACTCGCCGAAGTGCTTGTCAGACTTAGAATTGTCTTCTGGCTCTGGTAGAGGAGGTGTCGCTTCCCGGGTAAAGCCATTGCGGGTATTCAACAGGGCTGCTGTGAGAGTCCTCGCTCCATCGGTAATGCTATACGGATATGCCGATGACCACTTGGTGGATTGACGGTCAATGAATCTGACAAGCTCTGCACAGTTTCGTCCCCTGTTTCCAGTCACAAATGCTCGTTAGCATATATTGAAGAATGGATAACTCACCGGAGATACTCTCTGGTGTATGGTATTTCAATCCGAGTGGGTTCGTCCTTGTCAGGCATGATGGTCAAGTAGAGAGGGCAAACGGGAAATTGATGTTGTCAACCAGCTGTGCAATTGAATGTGCCCCGGCCAATTGAAATTTCCGATTGGAGTCATCAATTAACTCTCCAATTGGAGCATCTGAATCATCCGATTGGAGAGACTCCAATTGGCCTCACCAATTGGAGTATTGGATGAGTGACTCCAATTGGAAGAATCAAATGCTCCAATCGGAGAGTCAAACACAGGCTCCAACTGGAACCTCCAAGTGTAGGACCAAAGCTCTCAATTGGAGTCAACACATCAACACGTCGACACAACAGGACACGACACGACGCGGCAACATGACACAATATGTCAGCGCTGCTTCTGGCTGGTACTTATTTATACCATAGGCAGATCCCCCACTGAAGCTTTCTAGGGAAACAGGGTAGCCATTAAGTCTGCGCGCAGCACAAGGCCTGGAGATTCTGACCAGTCCAATTGGAGAGTCCAAGAAGTCCAACTGGAGTCCTTTGTTTCGGTCTCCACTTGGAGGGTCCAAATGCAAAGACCAAATGGACAATTCCGTTGTTGGTACTTAATAAGTCCAATTGGAGTGTCCAAGAGGGTCCAATCGGAGCCTTCTGTTTCTGCCTCCAGTTGGAAAGTCCAATGTAACGGCCAAATGGACAGTCCAAAGAGTCCAATTGGAGTCCAATTGGAGGGTCCGTTTTGGAGAGTGCATCCAAACCGACTGCAATGAAGTGAGTTCATATCTTATCTACAAGTAGGGTAGTATTGGTTTATTCTCTGCGTTGATATCGTTCTAATCCAAGCTCGCGCCAAATTTCCCAGCGGTTCTTTTCACCCCAGCGCTCATGCCAAACCTCTCTTGAAAACCTTCCATCAAGACCCCAATATTCTTGTTGAAGAAACTAGACAAAATATTCGATGTTTATTAGAGTAGGACTACCAAGTATTTATACTACTCTCTTTATTCTAGTATATTCTGTATTCTGAGTCAATAGAAAGTGGGAGAACATTCCCGACGCGCCGAGCGTCGGTGATGGCGCAGCCGCTGACGTCATCTCTCGGCGATGACTCGGGTTCGCCAACCCGCTTACTTCAACACTCCCCCTCGAACACGAAGTTGAGCCGTGCTTTCGCAAGCATGGTGCGCAGTGGAATACCTCGCCTGGGTTAGAGGCTTTCTTGTGGTGTTGTAGACTCCCCCTTTCTCCATGCAGTCTCTGATGCTGACTGTAAATCCCAGTGTCTGTTGCCCATGTGCCGTTTGCTGCTTGGCCGTTCCTATGGTCCTTCCTGGCCGCCCTCGGCGCCAGCGTCAACCCGGAGTCCATGCCGTGCCCATACCAAATCCGTTGCCGCGGCCCATAAGCCCTCGGTGTCCATGTCCGTGTCCGCGAGTACATTCCCATGTCGTGTCGGTAGCCTCCGGCCCGGTTCCAGTTCAAGTCCATCCAATTCCGAGTCCGACTGTGATCCAGCCCATCGTGGCGATCCCTTTCGTGACTCTGTTCCATTCCATTCCAGGTCCCAACCAACTGATCCAGCCCATTGGCGATCCCATGGCGGTAACCCATCCCAAGCCAAGTCCATGCCGCTCCGGCGCCGCCGGCCGTGAGCCCGAAGCTGTGTCGATGACCGATCTGTGCTGACCATGCTCATCTGTCCGTGTGCTGGCGATGCTGAGCCATCTGCCATCCGTGATCGAGTGTCCGGTACGTGTCGTTCCCTTCGCCGCTCTTTCCCGCTGCTCTGCCAGCCCATTGCCGTAGAGGGATCACATCCCAAAAGGCTGCTCCATGGAGCCGTCCCATCGCGTGGTCGCTGTGTGTCGGAGGAGGGTGGTGCAGGGGATAATAAGTGGTGTCGCTACTGTGGGGTGCTTGGCCAATGTGAGGTGCCGGGGCCCATAACCTGTTGAAGAAACTAGACAAAATATTCGATGTTTATTAGAGTAGGACTACCAAGTATTTATACTACTCTCTTTATTCTAGTATATTCTGTATTCTGAGTCAATAGAAAGTGGGAGAACATTCCCGACGCGCCGAGCGTCGGTGATGGCGCAGCCGCTGACGTCATCTCTCGGCGATGACTCGGGTTCGCCAACCCGCTTACTTCAACAATTCTGACTTGTTGCGTTCGGCCTGGATGTCTTTCTTACACCATGGATATGCTTCGACAACCCGTCGGAAAGGACGGTACCCATCATCATTCTTCGGCACTCGTTTGCGCTTGGTTTCAACCCCAGCCTCTGAATCATGAGGCATTTTGAAGTACTTGAAGAAACGTGCTTCATCACCATCGAAATCTTGTTTGCCGTACAAGATTCCGCCCAGCCGCTCTCGCTTTGTGAGTGTACCCTTGTGCTTCTCCCAGGATGGGTCAGCGCCTCTCCCACGTCTCTTCTTTGAGCTGTGCACTCCATCTGCATCGGAATCCTCGCTTTCACTATTGTCTCTCTCATCCACCAACTTATCTTTTGGTCCATACCTTCTGCGCACTGAAGCGACAAGACCAGATTTGATTTGCGCCACGGAATCCTTCAGTCCTTGAACTCGATTGAGGCCTTCAATGGCTTCAGCTAGGCTGCTAAGCCCGTGCAACTCGGAGTCAAGGTGTTGTTGAGGTGGTTGTGGTGGTTGCACTGGGAGGGGACTCGGAGATGTGATGATTTGTGTGTCTGCTCTGGCACCGAGCGGAGGTGAAGAGATGCGTAGTAGGACAGGCGTGGGTGAGCGTGATGAGGAGGGAGGATCAAGTGGTCCATCCTGGAGAGCTGGAGAGACACTAGTGTCAGTAGTGAATGTAAGAAACAGAAGAGTATGATAACGCACCAAGAGCTCCCACATCTCTAACCAGCCTGAATTCCCGCCCTTCTGCAGTAGTGTTGAGCCACTCTTGACCCATCTCCGCCAATCCTTCCCACTGTCGAGCGATGATGTGCTGGTCAAGCGTTAGTGGGGCAGGTGTGTGTGTTGTTGCAGTTTGTGATGTAACTGTCAAGTCAAGGCCGTAGTATGTCGCGAGTCGTTGACGGAGATCCTCGACTTTCCCCGTGACCTTGAGCGCTTTTTTGCCCTGCATCTCGTTGGTCTGTAAGATCCAGAATTTCAGCTCAGCACTTTTGGCTGCAAGAAGCGAGGCGTGAGTCATGCCATTAGGCATAGGCATTGCAGTGGATGCACCCGACATTGTGTGCGCAAGTCAGCACAAGCAAGTGAGTGAGTGAGTGAGTGCCGCGGCGTACGTAGGCGGGCGGGCGGGGCCGTGAAAGGCGAGAAGATGGGTAGGTCAAGACGTAATATTGATTGTCGCTGTCGGATCCTCGGCCCCAGCGGCCGGCTGCCAAATTCAGCCCAAAAGTGATCGCCATATGTTTTTTTTGGACAAATTTTCACGGAAATAACATATTACAGGGTGTGCCAAGTGTCTATGGAGCCGGCCTAGGGGTGTCTGGAGTCACACTCGATCGTTCGTGCACCCGGGACACGAAACGTGTGACGATCACAGTGTGACCCCGCCAACGGATCGTGCCCCGTCACGAGAAAGCTCATTCAAGCCCACGACAAAGAGTCACAACAGTGCATACAAGTCGGCGAAATACCCTAGAAGGCACTCTGTATGAAGTACAAACAGGTATGTGTTACAACGAGGAATACAAACTGAATAGTATTACAAAGGCTTTGGCGAGCATTGTTTTTGTGGTGAAGAGATACATGCCAAGGGAGTGAAATCGGGAATGAACAAGATGCAGTTCAGCTCGGAGGGGAGCCGGGGAGATTTGGTGAGCTATGTGTGCAGTGCAATTCCGAAAGCGTTGACAGAGATAGTTTAAAGGCTGCATAGCGGTGAGGTCGAATGCACGAACTCGAAGCAAGGCAGTCTACAACAAGAGACGAGATGGAAGAGCTTTGAGCAAAGGAAAATGAAAAGCGAGTTAGAACGGTGGGTGCATTATAACAAGAAGGAGAAGGTTGCTGAAATTGGGGGTTCTTCGCTAGATGTTTTGAGCGTATATCTGGAGATATGTGCCAGTTGCTGGCTAGTGGAAGGCGATCTGGCATTGTCCAACCGACATCCCTGAAATAGACCTCGTCAGATGGAGCTCGTTATCTTTGCCATACAAAACGACTCGCCACCATTCGCATTCAAGCCCGCCCTGGGGACCATGGCCTGTCGCCTTGGCCACCACGTGGCACGCCTTGCTCGTGGGCCGGGGGCAATGAGGAGTGGCCTCGTAACATCCTGGAGTCGCGAACAGGCCCTTGCTGGTGCTGTAAGTGTGTTGGTGGATGGGAAGGGAAAGAGGGCGGGTAAGGATGAGAAGCAGACATGGTGGCGCGACGAAAAATTGTTGGTCCTGGAGCTACTGTCGATGGTATCCCACCGCTGGAGCGAGAGCTGGAACTGCTTGGAGACGGCGTCGGAGAAAACTCTTGCTGAATCCGCGAGGCAGTATCGACATAGAGATGGCCATACGGGCGATGATCCTCGTACTCGCTGCCCGACTCGACGTCTGTGTCGCCTTCTTCACCACTTTCTTGGTCATATTTCCTGGGGCCGGTACTTTTCCCTCGTTTGCGGACACGCTTGTTCCCCTCCCCTTCCGAAAAGTCGAGGGTCCAATACCCGCCCTTTCCCGGCTCCTGCATTGGCCGTTCAATGTTGCGGAAGGGGTTTCTCAAAGACAACACATGACGAAGGGAGTCCTGCGTTAACATCTTTAGACGCGCAAAAAAACCACACGAAAAATGCTCACCTTCCATTTCTCCGCATGGCGAAAATATTCGTATCGCTGTTCGATGGCTCGGTGTATCTCGTGCAGGGTCAATTGCTTGCGCGGGCTCCCATAGATCGCAACTTGGGCAAGCAAAGAGAGAGAAAGATTAGGTGGTACATCGGGCGGGAAGTCGGGGAGCGCTGCGAGAGTGACGGGAACGTTCGGAGGAAGGTTGAGCTTTTGGCGCAAATATGGACCTGGATCAGACGGCGACCCGATCATACCGGCGGGTGCTGGAGTAAATGGCTGAGGTGGAGACCGCTGGCCAGTGAATGGAAGTGTCGACGAAGGAGGGCGAGAGCCAGGATAGGGACTGCCGTATCCTGGAGGAGATATTGCCTGGTGGCCCAAGTACACTTGACCATGTCCATGGTAAGCGGGATGGGCTTGCAACGGCTACTTTCTGCCTCAGCTACTAGTCTGAGAATACACACAATGTTCAACGCACCACAAGTCCATCCTGCCCTCGCGGAGGCATATATGGCGGGTCTTGAGCATAATGTCCACGGCCTCTCCCCCCGTCAGATACATCACGCGCGCCATGATCTTGCCCAATTGGGCCGGGCCGGACCGCAAATGTGGGCGTCCGTTGTTGGTTGATGTGTAACCCGTGAAGCGAGGCATGCATGAAATTGTTTGCCATGTCTCTATGAAAATCATCAGTCGCCAGCGACAAGAACAGCAGCAGAAAATAGTATAAAAGTGTGGACATCTAAGTAAGTACACGTGTCGATTGTGGGTAAACCGAGCGAATCGATTGCAGATGGGAAATAGAAACGGCGAAAACGATCGCAACAAAGCGTTCCAAGACAAGCAGAGTAGGCAAAACACCAACATACCGACGTCTAACCAATATGCACGTGTTGTGGGTCAAAGACTATAGAGGCTGGGGAGGGCTGGAAGTCTTGTGTAGGGCCCCTGGGATCCTTCAGACGCCATTAGCAGGCCAGTTTTTATACGACTTTGAGCCGTCGTGACGCTATTCCTTGTAACACCTCAAAATTGCCTTTCATAGTAATTGTCGCTGATTAGCGCCAGCAATCTGCACTTCGGATTGGCGATGGGAGCGTGAGACGAGAAGTTTTGATCGCTCCGCAAGGGCGACGGGCATCCATTATTTCGCAGTCCGACTGATAAACCGCATTCGGAAAGTGTTTGGGAAAGGAAATTTTGGTTTTGCCTTTTAAGGTGAAGTCAAAGATAAGAACTTACATAATGAACCAACAAAAGTTATAAGGGCAAATATTGTACGGCACGGCCAGCCTATGTAGTCTAGGCAAAGTCTAGGCATACATGGATGATCACGGCCTTGCCGTTGATATTGACAATTCAACTTGAAGTTACTTAGATGCAGCCGTTGACGCTGGCAGTTGCAGTCGCCAGTGCGTTAACACGGAAACCGTGCCTTTTGTTGCTGCTAATGTTGTTAAGTGGGGCCTGGGCACTCATCTGAAAGTGCGGCATTACTTCTGCTACCTGTCAACAAGGACCCTACAAAACATTGGACCCGCCGTTGATTCGCCATATCTGTTTCGGGCCGAGACCTTGCCGGGCCGCTCGGACCCTGAGTGACGCACACGCTGAGTCACGTCATGTGCACCTCCTGATGAGAAACCATCACCTTCCGGACGAGCTCCTTTCCGAGATTCTTACCCCCGCACTTAAAGTGTCCGACGCGGCCTTCGCCGACGTTGGCACTCACTCGCCGTTTGCGATCTACGCCGAATCGAGTTCAGCGTACCTCCTTGTGTCTAAATCGTGGCTGCGGGTCGCAACTCCATTGCTGTACCATGTGGTCGTCATTCGGTCGAAGGCTCAAGCCGCTGCTCTTGGACGCACCCTTACCCAGAACCCGGATCTTGGTCGCTTCATAAAGAAATTGCGAGTCGAGGGTGGATATGGGCAGCCTATCTATAACATCCTCAGCCGAACGCCAAACGTGGCCGACCTCTATCTTAACCTCGACCTCTATGCTTATGACAGCACGGTTGGGTTTTGTAAAGGTCTTCCGCTCATCAATCCTGCACGACTTATCGTCAACGACCAAAACGAACGCGCCCCCTCAAGTAAGCTGGTGGTCAAGTTGTTTGAAGTGCTCGCCCAGGCTATCCGCGAGAATTGGGATAACCTGGTACGTGAACTCCGCGTGTTTTTGGCCTTGGAGCTAACTTCTCCTGAAAACAACAGGTCACCTTCGAATGCAACTACGACTATCATGGTAACGAATGGGCCCCTCGCGCCGTCATCTTTTTCGATGCCTTGGCAGCGGCTAAACGGCTACGAAAGCTGCTTGTGGAATCTGAATATGGCATCGACAGTGCATACGACCACCTCGAGGGTTGTCCTCTTCAGATAATCGAAATCCGTTCGGCTTACTCCCAACCCGTTGTCAAGCGCGCGGCAGTGAATGCCATCCTGCGGTACGAATTGCAAGACGGCTATGCACACAATATCGCGTAAGTAGCCTAGTTCTGTGTTCGACATCTTTCTTCCACTGGCTAAACCGAGTTATGCAGAAACAATGTCCCTGGGCCCGCGGACGCTCTAGTAAATAATCCCACAGGAGCCAGAGCAAAATATCCGCTGGAAGGAGTACCACAACTGGTGCAGGAGCTCATCTGGTCACGCGTATCAATCTTCTTATTCCACAATGCTCCGCACAAACACAAACTTCCGTTTCTCGGTGTCTCCAGAACATTCTACGTTGGTTCCTTTCCCAAGCCGCTCTACTTGATGCATTGTCGCTGACATGACATTCGTTAGAAAGCGGCTTTGGCCAATTGCTACGCTGATTGCACATTAACACATTCCGAAGCGCTAATCGTGAACGAGCTCCTCAACAACCATCCCGAGATTGTCTCCAAATTCCATCGCTTGAATTTCCGCAAGATGGATGGTGAGCCACCTACCTGGTTTGACATTTGTGTATCTCTCCTCTCGAAAATTGGCCCATGCCTACGGAAGCTCAGTCTCACGACGACATATAGTTTCATCCCCGACACCGTACCCCTGCAATCTCCAACATTATTATTGGATCTTGTGAACCTGCGGGTGCTAGAATGTGGCTTCAGAATCAGGTTTTCTCGTCATGAAACGTGGAGGATTTTCGAGAATGCACTTCCCAAGCTCGAGCACTTGACCTTATACGGCGCCGACGAGTCGCTCGTCTCTGCGCTGTCCTATGCGAAGTAGGATTCCCAGACTGTCGATTCAAGATGCACTAACATCTCAAATAGGCTCCCTGCACTGCTTTACGTCAGGCTCTTTGAGTCGCGGTTTAACGGTGCCCCGCACTGCGAGCCATTTCTCCAGGCTCATGGCAGCAAGCTCCTCGAGCTCGAAGTTGCCTTGGGAATAGTTGCTGATACGGAGCATGTCCCACTCCAGTCACGACTGTCAAGAGGTCTGCTGGATTATTGTCCTCACGCACTACATATCCGCTTTTTCGACGTATGGTCCCAGGCTTCTTAACCTCATGCATTCCTGTTGACTTTCAACTAGGCTATACAACCACCTCCTCCCCAAGTGTTCGATTGCGTTTCAAGCGCTGTCGAAAAGATTTCCTTACAATGGAATCATAGTTTAAATGCCGAGTATGTGTTTCGCAATGTTCGATCCTCAATTTTCGTCTTTCTTCTAACTTCGCATTGCAGCGACATTCTGAGGCTCAAATCTCAAACTAATCCATGGGCGACTTTCTTTGCGACAACGCCGCGATCGCTTGGCTCACTACCACGGTTGCGCGAAATTCATTTGGAGGGTTTGGACTGGCCCACGAACGAGTGTGTTTCCTAAAGTTCAATTTTACTGAAATGAAGCTCATGGCACTCTGGCTCCAGGCGCGGCATCGCTCAAAACTTCTGGGTTGGTGCTGCGGAGGGTTTGCTAAAGCGCTGTGTTAATGCAGGACGGCCAGAGATCAAGACAACGGATGGCTCAGATATCGCATGGCGGCCGAGGCTCAAAGTTGGCCGTGCCAAAAGTTAACCTTGGTTTTCGAGCCTACAAGTACAAGGTAGTCATAGTACACAAGTAATAAGCACTATGTACAGTATTCCTAAACATATATTGTCCCCTTTTTTTAAAAAAAAATGCATCCTTATATGCCTCAAGCCCAACCCTGTGTACATTGCGTCAGCTAAACAAAGTTTAACAAACACTTGTTCGTGACATCGTACCCCATTCACTTGCACAGTCTGCGCATTCACCCACTGGGCAGCTGGACTGGCGATAAATGCGACAACTGGTGCAATGTCCCCGACCTCCCCGATTCTCTTGGTGGGGACCTTTTCCGCCAGCTGCTGCAGGATGTGTGCGGCGTTTCGGCGCAGCATGTCCGTGTCGACTGCACCCAGCGCGAGGGTGTTGACGGTGATGCCTTTTCCGCCGATGTCGGGATCTTTGGCCAACAAGCGTGAGATTTGTTCGAGGGCTCCTTTAGAAGCGGTATAAAGCATCGCGGTGCTCGGTGTCTCTGCAAGCCCCGATTAGCCATTTGCATGATTCCAACGACAAACATTGAGGCTGACCAGGGGTTATGACCCATACTGACGAAATAAAAAATGATCCTGCCTCCCGCTGAATTCGTTTAGCGACAATCTAGATGACATTATAGCTAACTGGAAACATACGTCGAGGCAAGTACGGCGCCGCCGCTTTCACGAGAAACAAAGGCCCTTTCACATTGGTATCGAATTGCAGGTCGTAATCCGCTACCTCCATGGTGGCCAGGGGGACGGCGGCGGCCTTGGCAGCATTGAGGACCAGGATGTCGATCTGCCCATATGCTTCGAGGGCTGCATCAACGAGAATTTGGCCGCCAGGGACAGTGGAGGTGTCTGCCTGAACAGCGATGGCCTTGCTTCCGGCGGCGACGATGGCCTGGACGACGTCCGCCGCGAGCAGCTCGGAAGCGTCAGAGACGTAGTTGACGACCACGTTTGCGCCTTGTCTGCCGAGGTCCCGCGCAACTTCTGCCCCAACACCCCGCGAAGAACCGGTGACGATAACGGTTTTTCCTATGAAGAGGTTATCAAGGGTAGGTGTTGTTTGAGGGGGCTGGCTGGTAAGAAGCAGTTAAGCACCTTCAAATGTTCGCTGGTGAGCCGACATCCTCCACAGTGGTGGTAAAAGGTGTCTAGGTTCCCCCGGGCCCGGGATTCAGATTATGACTGGTACAAGCAGTTCGGGTTGCTACAGACTTATCATATCGACGCCATTGGTCAACCGAAGTACGGAAATAGATGGTTCAGATGCCATCCGTGTATCTTTGGTATGCGCCTAGTATGCGGCGCCATTGAAGATGGCCGTGGCCTCGCGAAGGTGGTGGTGCTTATGTAATCGCCATTGGCCGATACTTTTGACAATACTTTTTATCGTTGTAGTAGTAAGTGGGTGTAAGTACTGTGTGTGTGTGTGGTCGTGGCAATGGTAGGTATGTAGAAGCGCGAATCATTGAAAAAAGTTGGTCGTAATTCTCGTAACTTGAAGGTCATAACTCGTTCTATCGTGTCTTTTCGACCACGCCGAATTCAAAGTAGCATCGTCCCAGGTGAACCCGCAGATTTGGTGTTGCTCTGGAAGGGGATACAGAGCGCTCTGGCCGATCTTTGCCTCGAACTTTAAGAGGTTCTGCCTCTCCATCCCAATGAATGTGAGGTGTATTGTGTCGTGACCTCTGAATGATGCTCGGCGTGGGGGACAGTGGGTCAGGTTGTGAAACCGCAGAGAAGGGCATGTAATTTGTCGCTTGACTCGTGGACTGAGTAGGATTGTTGATCTTGCGATGCAGGAAGGAAATGGGTGTTGTCGGTCTGCTGGGTGGATTTGTGGAGAAATTCCGAAGCGTGTTGGCAGGCGATGGGTGTGGCTCTTTTCTCGAATGAGTTGGACTCGGTTGCTCAAGGGAGCGATTGATGTCTACAGAAAAAGTTCTTTCAATGTTTGAATGAGCAAATCCAATACACACCCCGCTTTGAGCGGTCAACAGTGCGGACCCTTTCGCTTTCTGAATGTGTTGAAGAGCGGGAGCGAATCTTCGTGGGGCGGGAAATGCTGCGGTCGCGGAAAGCGGGAGGAGAGTCGGGGCGGCTGAGGTTCGTGCAGGAGCTCGAAAAGCGTGTCAACGATGTCGCAAGCTGACTACGAATTGGAGATGGGGTGGTCGGTCGTGTGAGTGGGTTGAATGAGAGCCCTGGAAGAGAATTTGTAAGTTTTGGGTATACAGAAAGATGAAAGACACGAACGGGTTTCCCCACTTTGCGCAGAATAGCATGACTCCGTCGTGGCATGGGAGGCGCGAAGGATGGTGTTAGGCATGCTGCACCGGCAAGGGGGGCTCGATATGCAGTCCCACGAATGGATGGCGACCAGTATTTATACGGAAAAAAGCAAGAGAATAACGTGGGAGTGGCCCCTAGGGATCTAAAAGAGTCAGAGTCGGTAGTATGTGATCGCCACGCTCACAACTTGAAACCATGCGTCTGAAAGGGTGATGAAAGAGTTACCCTAATCAAAACGCTATTGTTCGCCGTCTATGGAAACTTTCTTGAGCGGTTTTTCGGTAGGGCTGGAAGTGATAGATGGTGTCAGCGCGATAGGAGAGTCTCGTCGTTGCTTGGCATGACGCGTAAGCCTTCCGTAGTTGCCTTTGCATGGCGGTGAATGTTAAGCTGCGGAAGATCACGTGTCCATTCGATGCTCAGTCCTGACCCCCACTCTCGTCCCGAGTCGATACAACAACATCAGTCGTCTGCACACGCCAGCCAAGCTGAGCTACTGGGGTCCGACGCGGAAGTATGGCATCTCAAGACTATCAGCTACGGCGTTGGCGACACGAAGCAAGAAGTGAAGATCATCACACAAAATTATAATGGGTGTGTGTCGCTGTCGTTTTGAATACTTTTAAAGCTCAAGTCTCGTTAGGCCCTGCTCCTTCATTGCTATATGTATGCTCTCGATATCGTATTAGTTGCTCCCTGACTCTGAGCTAGGTAATATTCTGATTCTCCGTGGCGACATCAAGATTCTCCCGCCCGACCGCCCAAGCGTATCGTACGAGTTCCTGGCACAATTGGTCGGGGAATACCTGCTCCTGCGGGTCCCAGATGTCGACATATCCGCTGCTCTCTCCATGATGCCGCTCACACAAAGTATGTCTTTCTCGGTCATACTTTCCGGTCTGAAGTCTGAATTAATATTCAAGAGGGCATGGACCTCAACCCCTTGTTCACTGGTGCAACGTCATTTAGACCTTCTGGAGATGGTGCGGATGGTGCTTTGAAGCTCTTCGAGCAGGCGGGAATCACACTTGTGCATGGATGGCTTGTTGACCCAGAAAGCTCAGAGGCCACAGCAATATCCTCCAAGGCACAAGACTATGACACGGCTGTGACCTATATAGCCGATGCGGACCACACGGCCAAGGGGCAACTCGTTTTGAGCGAGTTTGACTTGCCAGCAGTCGCATCTGGTAGTGGAAGTGGTGGAAGTAGTGCTGGTCCCAGCACCAGCAATGGAGTGTTTTCAGCAAAGTGGACTTCAGAGGAACGGGAGAAAATAGAGAATGGTGTGTGTTTGTGCTGTCTTCAGTTAGATTAAGCCCACTCATATTTCACATTTTAGCAATCGTCATTCGAGAATTTCTTGATTCCACACAGTCTCAACTAACCTACCACGGCCTTTTCCACCTTGCCACCACTCTCGAACCGGGTTCTCTGGTTGCGTTATTCCGTAACTCCCACCTTTCCGTGCTACACAAACCCGCCTCTTCTGATGCCGCCCTCTATTCCCTTGTTACCGACTATGTTTTCTTGCACGAGCGCTCCGTCGTTTGGGAGCGTTTTGAAGATGTCGATGGACACAATGCGACATTTGTGGATAGCAACTTCGTCCGTGCAACCCCTGTCGGTGGGGATTATGCTGGCCAAACCGCAGAAGACGCTCTACGGATGGCCGAAATCGAGGCCGGGATGTTTGTTGCCCATGATCCCGGGGACCTTCTTCTCGCCCAGCAACTCCAGTCGGAGGAGGACAATCGTGCACAGATGTTAAGGGAGGATTACCGACATCGAAGGTTGGAGCGCGAATTTGCTGAGGCGGAAGCGGCAAGGAAGAAGCAGGAGAAGAAAGAGAGGAAGGCTAATAACAAGAAGAACTGCATTATCATGTAGTATCGCATTTATTCTTATTACTTAGTGTAACTAGAAAGATTTTTTTGTATCCACGGAATAATTGGTTGTCACGCGCCATACTTTGCTCTCTTCCCTTCGCCTCGAGGACATGTAGATGGCCTCGATCCATCTCAAGACCCCCGTCCAGGAGCACCCGCTGCTACCTGACGAAGCACCATCCAGCAGGACGCGTAAGCATCGCGGCAACCACCACGAACCGGAGTCATCGCGACACTCGACGGCAAGCAACAACAACTACTTTGCGCTCAAGGCACAGCTCGAGCAGCAGCAACAACACACGAATGGGGCCTCCCAGGCGTCGTGGGACGGAAGTGTGCGTGGCTACAGCAAGATTCCGTCAAGCACGAGCTCGTCCCTTCAGCGCCCCAAGACGAAGGCATCCACCAGCTCGCTGTCCGTTCTCTGGGACCACGAAGAACATAGCCACGCCCATGACAGTCGGCCAGCGCCGCCGCTGTTCATCGTTGGAAGCGCCGACCAGCGCCCAGGCATATTGCTTTCGCAAGACCACGACACCCATCCCGACGATGACCCCATCTTGCGAGCCCAGGTGCTGGACAAGCCCTGGCACTCGTATTCAGATGAAGAAATCCAGTCTGCGATTGCTGGGCTGAGTCCTACCACTTCCCCGGCAGAAACACCCTCACAACCCTACCATTCTGCATTGCGAATTCTGTCACAGGCACTGCACAACCTTTCCAAGGCGCGTGTCGAGCTTGAACAAGGGCGGGAAGCGCTGAAGGAGAAGGAGGCCGCGAGGAGGGAAAGGGCGGAGGCTCTGGTGAACGAGCTTCAGATACTGTCAGAGAGGGAAGTTGCGAGAAGGGTCATCCAATCTGTGTTCACAGACGATGACGAGGAGAAGCACCATGTGAGAAGGCAGCAGAGCTTCTTGGTGCGCAAGTCTTACTATTCACTCTATTTTCACTCTGATCACGAATTTGTTCAGTCTTTGAAAGAGTCGCTGACGGAGGCTCTCGAAGATGATGTATCTCTTCCTCGAAGTCTACCCAAAGAAGAACCCGCGACGCCGACCCCCATTGTAAACAATACCAGTGCTTCGACCTCCCCTTCTGTCGAGTTCCCGACTAGCGACGATCCAGCAACAACTAGCGATAACTCCAATCAAACAACCGTTAGGCCCCGTCCCGACAGACCTTCTATGGGTGAATGGGTTGGCACATGGTGGACCAAAAGTCGTCCGCGATCCATCTCAAAGCCCGCCATTCCTCCTCCCCTCGAATCTCCCCCGAAAAGCAACTCATCTGTTGAAACGGACGATTCTACAGTTGGTGCCACTGCCGTTCCACGAGCGCCTACCGCAAACCCTATCAACGGCAACCGCAGAAGGACAGTGCGAAGCGTATTTGGCACATTGAGCTTCTCGATGGGGAGTTCTAGCCGACAAAGTGTTGTATTATCCGACAATGCTTCTATCCATTCCACGGATTTAGGTGCCAACACGCCCGCCTCAATGGTTTCACCTCCCTTTTCGCCTATAATCGCGGCTGCTCCACATTTAACGACAATACTCGATAATTCAGATGGTACCTCGACAACCGGGGTATCTACAGCATGGACAAGAGAGTCAGATGCTCCTTCTACTCCGCTCATTCAAGGGTCAGCGATACGAGCTATTGTAAACGCCACTCGTGTCATGACAGCGGAACCATCAAGCATTCTTGTTGACGGCGGACAGGACACAGAGCCGCTCATTGCGAGACTGGCGCTGGAGCTAGTCAGAAATGCTCGTGATGAGGGTCTCGTTTGGCGGGATCCCACGAAAGAACGACGGGATCGGGAACGACGGGCTGCTACAGAAGTGGATACCTCTGCTGATGGCCCAATCGCAGTTCTTAGTCCACCACTGACTTCACCTGCGGAGGCGATACAAACGCTCAGCCGGGCGCTGGGTAGTGCGGGAATCGCCAGCCAGGAGGGGTTTCGGGGCAAGACAAGCGGGAGTGGCAGGAAATCTGCCGCTGCAATTATGGCCAATGCAGCTAATCCCGCCCCGCTTTTTGCTGGTCTTATATCTGGAAAGGCGAAAGCACCTATTGCAGCACCATCGGATAACTCATCAGCCCAAACCCAATCGACTACTTCTACGGCAACGGAACAGGCCCCAGTTACGAAGAGGGCACCTTCAGTACCGCTCGAATCGATCATCCCGCAAATGGCTAAACCGCCCACACAATATCTTTCCCGGACATATACTCCGCTTACAGCACGCGATTTTCGCTTCTCGATCCCAATTCCGTCTGCTGCTGCTGCACGGTCTGCGCCTACTGCGAATGGGGTGGAAGAGCCATTAACGGATCGATATGGCTTTGTTTATGACATTGCGCAGTATGATGTCCTTTTGCTCAGACGAGCCAAAGAGTGTGGCTGTGCAGCACCAGCTTGTTTGACGGGGGTCAAAATTGCGGACCGTGTTGAGGACGATAATGACGAGATGGAGGATGGGCGGAGCATTGAGATTGTAAGGACGGAATGCGACTGTGGCGGGGAGGACGACGGCTCGTTGGACAGCAACTCGCCGGACAACATGAGTGTCAAATCCAAGACTTCGGCAAAGTCCAAACGACTTTCGATTGTTTTCGGCAACGGCGACAACACCCGCGCCGCAACCAAGCTTTGCGATATTGGCTGTAACGGCAGATTCTCCGCGCCATGCATGTGCAGCTACTGTCCGTCGATTGCTTGATGCACTGACAACATTGCATGACGAGCGACAAACTTTACAAAGACGGGAATGGGATGTGTTTGTCAAACAGCGTGGCCGGGCACGGATAACGGCACAGTCCCAAGTAGTCAAGGCCGCTGCCACAATCCTTGGACTGGGTACCTCTGACGAGGCGGACGAGCTGGCTCATACTGAAGGTCTGATCGGATTTGCACAATTGGCCAACCGCGACGAACGGAAGGAGCTCGACAGACTGGTCAAAAGTGGGATCCCGTTGGTGTATCGGCCAAAGGTGTGGCTGGAATGTAGCGGGGCGCTGGAGATGATGGAACCGGGGATGTTTAATGACCTGTTGCTGCAGAACGGGGAGGAGGCGAAAGGTGTTTTGGTGGAAATTGAGAAGGACGTGGGCCGGACGATGCCGCTGAATGTGTTCTTTGGTGGGGATGGCGCGGGAGTGGTTAAGCTCCGGAGGGTTTTGACCGCATATAGCAGGTGAGGGTATCTCCTTCCCTAAATGTTACCTTGACTGAAAGTTGACATAGACGGAACCCGACAGTGGGCTACTGCCAGGGCATGAACTTGGTCACCTCGACTTTGCTGCTCGTACATGCAGACGAGGAGGAAGCATTTTGGGCGCTTTCCGCCATCGTCGAGCGGATTCTTCCTGAAGACTTTTTCTCGCCGTCGTTGCTTCCGTCGCGAGCATGTCCGCTTGTGCTGCTTGATTACATCAAGGACTTTTCTCCCAAGCTTCACACACACCTTGCGGACCTTGGCGTCGACCTGCCCGCGATCTGTTTCTCGTGGTTCCTGTCGCTATTCACGGATTGTCTGCCTATCGAGGTCGATTTCCTTCCCTGATTTGATTTAGCCTAAACTGACGTCAATGTAGACTCTTTTCCGTGTCTGGGACATCTTCCTGATCGACGGCCTCCCCGTCCTCTTCAGAACGGCACTTGCGATCGTGAAGACGGGTGAATCAGAACTGCTTCAGGCACAGTCGGTGCCTGCTGTCTATGTCGCGTTGGAGAATTTGCCTACACGGATGTGGCAGGCGGATCGGCTGCTGCAGGTGCGTTTTTTCTGGTGTTTTTCCTTGAATTGGGTATATTCATTTTTTGTGCTCTAGGGCGAGGCGGACCTGCGCGCGTCGGTAACCAAGGCAGATATCGAGGAGCGGTGTCAAGTGCATGTGGCTGCGCTGAGGGAGCTAATGGCGTAATGCCAATGCAAGTTGACGGGCTCCTTCTTTTTTCTTTTTATTATTGCATTCATTCTTTTTCTGAGTAGAAGGCAAATGTAATCCCCCTCCAGAGGTTGTATACGTATAGAATCCTCCCCACACGCTACACACGTACTGAAATACGACTAATTGCAATGACCATCTTTGTAGTCAGTACTAGTGAACTGTGAGGCTAATGGGGGTGAGTGTCGTTTTTCGTTCCTGGAGGAGGCAGAGGGGGCTGCCCGAGAGGGTCGGGAATCGGAAAGGGCTTCGAGTGTGGGTATGGTCGCGGTCCAGACCAGGCCGCCGTTTGTCGAGGGGGAGAAGACGAACCCCCAAAATTTTTTTCGAGATCGAGAGGATGTTCCGAATTCATGCGAGGCTCCTGGAAGCGGGCCCCGCACGGGCGACGGCGGAGCGCTGCCCGCCAGATCGTCTGCGGTCTCCTAGCAGCTGTCGGTGGAGCGGAACGAGGTCGTTCCGGTGTCATCAGGAAACTTACTTTACAGACTCGCACCGTGACCCTGAGGGAGAATACTTCGGACGGCGGTATACTTGGCTCTGCCTTGAGGAAGGTCGCGGCCCGGTGATAAGTGGCAGAACAATGGTACTAGTACCACCTGGCTGATAGTCCAAGTTCGATGGGCGGAAGAAGGGCTCTGAAATCTGCCTGATTCCCGCCCTTCCGTGCGAGCTGGCGGCGGAAAACGTGCAGTCCCAATCAGTCGTGCCACCCAGCGCCTTACAGGTTGCCAATGCGGCCAGAGCTTCGCGCATCGCCCCTTGGCTGCGCGCGAACGCATCTTGATACCAGGAATGCGTGATGCTGATACCCAAGCGCGCGGGCGCGGACCCGCGAGCGGAAACGGGCGAGATTTACGTGTGGCTTTGAGGCGCGGGCGAACTGAGTTCTGGACGACGAAAGATCTGCACTTCCTTCCGCCAACGCGTGACGTCACGCCACAAGCGTTTTTTTTCGCTCTGATATCATGGGCTGGTGGCCGTTCTCGTCTGCCGCGGAAGAGCCGCCTCTGCCCACGCGCCAAGACCGCCAGGCGTGCTGGGACGCCCGCGACGCCTACTACGCGTGTCTGGACTCGGCGGGCGTGGTGCGGCCGGGAAGCGAGGGCCCGAAGGTGTGCAGGGCGGAGAACCGGGTGTATGAAAGGAGTTGTGCGCAGAGCTGGGTGAGCGTTTACCAGCCGTTTTGGGGCGGACGGCTGGCTGATCACGGAATTTGGCAGGTCAAGTATTTCAATGAGCGGCGCAGACTAGCGTTTGCCCAGAAGGACATGATTGCGCAGGCCAACGCCCAGAATGCAGCGGCAGCTGCCAGCGGTAGCGCTAAGAGGTGACACCGGTGAGTTGTTTGAACAAACAGACAGTTTTTCGCGACTAAACGCTGGCAAGCTTGTCCAATGTCCGTCTTTTCGTAGACCCGCCGGGTGAGTCCTTACCCGTTTACTGCCCTTTTCTCGCTCATTCGCTATCAGGCCGCGCCAGCCCTAGCCAGGGGGATCGTTTATCGCTCTTCTCCCGCATGTACCTCCCCCCCATAATACCTACCTCCAATCACACGAATGACTGTTCTTGTTGTGAATCGTCGTCCGGCGTCTTGACTCCATCTTGCATCTTGCATCACGGACCGCACCATCGACTTCGTGTCTTCTCGTGGCTGGACAGAGGGCAGCTCCTGCCGCTGGTTGGCCGCGCCGCGCCTCGAGATGATCAGGGACATAGCACGTCGATCTCAGGCGCATCTCCCATCCCAGCACCGGCTGGTAACAGTGTGGCCCCTCGATACCTTTCCCTCAGTTATCATTCCATCAGTGTTCGGTGTTCTGGTCGCGGCGCTTCAGTTAGCGTTGAGTCGGGGCTGCTGCTGCGGCCCAAGAGCGATGATGTCGAGTGCGCGCCACGGACCCCACCGTCTAATTGGATGGGCATCCCTATCTGCTTGGGTCCTCCGCGGCTCCCACCCCCCTTTTGCTGCATGATCCCATCGGGCCATTTGGCATTTGCATCGCATCGCCTGGCCGGTCTATAAAAACACTCTCTCTACTCAGTATATAACCCGTGCCCCGATTCCGCCCTTGCTCGCCGCATCTCCCGCATGACCGCCCCCTCCTCCCTCCCCTCCCAACGCTTCAGCTCGTATTCCGAGTTCTTCTCCAGCGGGCTGCGCGCCATCGCACGCGCCCGCTCCGGCTCACAAAGCTCACGCGCCACCGCTGAATCAGCCTCACCGACCGCTGCCAACCCCGCCAAAGCTTCTGCGCGGTATCACGTGCTGCGGGGCCTCGCATCCTCGTCGTCCGCGCGCCGGCCCCAAGCCAGCGCAGCCCCCCTCTCCCCCCGTCGAAAATGCGGTGCCAGAGGCCAAGGCACGAAATCGGCGATCTTCCCTGATCGACCTCCCCGTGCGCATTCTGGGCGGCCGCGACCGGGACAGGGACAGGGACAGGGATCGGCGGCGGTCGGTGTCGGTGTCAGTATCCGCCGGCCCACTGTCACCCGCAACAACGACGGCGCGCAGGGCGAGCGCTGCCCAGCGCGACAGCGTCTATCTCGTCCGGTACGTCCTTCCCCTTGTTCGCCTCTTGTTCGTGTGTGATAGATTGCTCATTTGAATTGCGCGCCCTTGTTTACAGCGATTACGAAAAGGTGGACCCGTTCGGAGCCTCGCCGTGCTCGTCGTCGTTCTTCACCGTCGAGGTCGGCGTCGAGGACGCACACGGGGCGCCAGCGATGGCCGCGGCCCCCGCAAAGGCAGCAGCAACAGCGGCGAGGCATGCCCGCCGGCTGTCGAGCTCCCTGCTCAACGGCCTGAACTTACAGCGCGACAAGAAGACGAGTACTGCGGGCGATAACAAGAGGACCGTCCACGCGCCGTCGCGATCGCTGTCGCAAAGCCAATTCGAGCGCCACGGCAAGGGCGACGAGTGGACGTCGGGCTGGAAGGACGAGCGCAAGCGGCGCCGGCTGTCGCTGCCGGTGATGCCGCTCGCCGGGCTGGTCACGGGGTCCCGGCCCCGGCCCCGGCCCCGGCCGTCGCCGACGCCCTCCTTCCAGCGCCCAGTGTATGCGCGCGCGCCGAAGAGCTGGAGCGTGAACCTGAGCGAGTGGCCGCTGCCGCCCGTCTCGCGCGTTTCTGTGCGGCTGGATTCGGACGAGGAGGAGTGGGGGGCGGCTGGACGAGGGCGAGGAGGAGGAGGAGGAGGACCCGATTGGCGCCATCGACTGGCGGCAGTTCCACGCCGAGCTGCTCGAGATTTGACATCTCAGACAAAATCAAAACCCGCGCGCTGGACGGTGTACACGCTGTATTGACATGAAGTTATTTTACCTTACTGTACTTTTTTTGTTTTGTATTTATCGCTACTATTGTACTCTAGTTTCTTATAGATACGCGGCTTGATAGCTCGCTATATGTACTCCCAGATAAAACAAATGGGCAACTCAATATGTACTCAAGGCCGTAAGGATTGAACATCCTAGTTGTAACTTGTCTGTTGCAAGTCCCGAGCACGACAATCTCGAGGGGTTTTGATCCTCAGTGGCAGTAGGGTGTGTTAGCAGCTGATTTTAAAAATCAGCCAAGAATACTTGGAATTTGCCACAGGAATTCCCGGGCCATGCTCCACCCTTCAGGTGCTAGTACTAATAGTCCTTGGAATGTATCATCGCTGTTGGACCACAGCACCCAATTGCACCTCAGTTGAACAGCATGCAATTGAATGATAACTGGGAAAGGCATCTCGTGTACTTATTATTGGAGAGTGAGAAGCAAGTCCCTGTCATCGACAACACCGCCGATCTTTCGTCGTCCATTGAACTCGAATCTCACAACTTTCAGAGCAGCTGAATTCCATGACGACGAGCATCACATCTTGTTCATAGAGATATCGGCGCTTTCACCCACAAGTACTCCATGCTTTGAAAGCTCATTATCTCCTTGAATTGCTACAGAAAACGGACATCGGTCACGAACTCATACCTGGGTCGGCACATGCTTCTGCAAAAACGCGATCTGCGCCTCCACCGCCCTCTGCCAGTCCACATTCCCCTCAAACGCGTCAAAATGATCTGTATCCCCTCATCAGTGCCCAGCACAACTTGCCTGTACTCGCCACTCACCGCCTGTAAGCTGCACCAGCTCCGCGCTCCCGACCGCGCGGCCGGCCGCAATCACCGGCTGCGGCGGACAGATGCGGTCGCCCGCGGCCGCGAGGAGGAGGACCGGGCGGTCGATCGTGTGCAGCGAATCGCGCGGGCGGTGGTGCCACGGCGCGCGGAAGAATATCGACGCGTTTATCTGTTTCTGCTTGAGCTTCAACTATTCGAAATAAAAAGATAATTACCTGGTTTGGGAAATGTCCCGCTTCCTTCGTGACACTAGCGAAGCCTGCGAGTGCGCCGGGCGCAGCGAGTGCGGATATTGTCCGTGGCCCTGGTGGGCCCACGGTGGGGATGTGGATCGGCGGCAGGCCGAGAAAGTCCGCGAGCAGGTCCAGCAGGCCAAGCAGAAATAGCGTGATGTATCGGACGGAAAATTGGAAGGGCGGGAGTGGGCGGCCACAGTATGGATTCAGAGCGATGCTTGCAGAGAGGTTTAAAGACGGCTGTGAGACATTGCGCGTTAAACGGCGGACACTAATGAGGGAGAAGAAGGCGCACATCGGAAGCAAGGGTGAGTATGTGGCCGCCTGAAGAAAGTTCACGTTTGCATGCGCGAGAAAAAGAAGACTCACCGGCAAAGCTAAACCCCCAAACAACTGCCCTTTGCGCGTCGTACTCCTTCTGGTGGCGGGCCCACTTGAGCACGGTGCGGTAGTCCTCCTGCTGGTCCCGCACGACGACACAGTTGCGGGGCATTCCGTCTTTGCATGTATTATTATATTAGCCCAACGCGAAAATAAACGGCAATAAGGACATACCTGAATCGCCCCAGCCGCGGTAGTCAAACACAACACACGCGTAGCCCGCCGCGGAGAACGCCGCCGCATACGCGGCCAGCCCCAGATGCTTGGTGCAGCCCAACCCGTTGGCCCTGTCGGGGGGAAGCGGTATCAGTCAAGATAAAAGTCGAGGGCGAGACGGACATGACAATGACGGGCCAGGGCAGCGTCTGACGGGCAGGGTGGTACAACCAGGCATCGAGAAACCAGCCAGGCGTGCGGGAGGGAATGGCGGACTGTTGTTCTTGACATCGGATATGCAGCCGGGCGGACGGTGCTGGTCGCTTAACGTTTAGTCCGGACGTAGTTCAGACGAGGTTATGAGGGGCGATGTGGATATCGCTGCCTATGTTGTTGTGGATGCGATGAGAGAGAAGAGTAAGTGGGAGGCCCATGTCGGCTCGTGGAAAGCAAAGCCTGATCAGCTGACTCGAATCATCACAGAAAAGTGCTGGATGAGAAAGCGATTATGATTAGGGAAGCTACGATATACTGACGAGAGCGAAATTACAGGGGAGGTAGGGTAACGCAGGGAGACAGAGAAACACATAGACGAGAGGTAGGTAAAGACTAAAAAGTCAACAAAAAAGAAAACAGTGAAAGCACGTCCTCGACAGCCTACTTGGGGTTCCCGACCTCGAGCATCTCCCGCACCATTAGATCCATCTCTCTCGTCTCTAAAATGGTCTTGAGGCGCGCCGCCATCTCCTGTTTCGTGCCGCAAGCTACGATACTCGCATTGTGGGCGGCATGGGCAGAAAGGTTTCGTTTGAGGGCCGCGGCGGAGAGGTCGTTAACCAGTGATGGAAGGGATATGAGTGGAGGCGCAATGTCGGCAAGGTAATTCAGGGAGAGGGCTAGCAAATGCATTAACACTCTTCATGTGAGAGGAAAGACTTGAAAGTGTACCATCAATGTATGATTCACAACTAGTAGGTACCTCAATGTCAATCATCCGTCGTTCGTCTTGGACGACCTTGGCAAGTCGACGGAGACCTGGCATGTCGATGCTGGTGTCGAGGATAGTGAGAAAAGAAAGCTTGGAGAGCAGAATCAGAGCAGGAATAGCTTCGTCGTCGATATGCGGATTGGTCGCGATTGAGAGCTGAAGGAGTGAGCGCCGAAGCGCGACAATATGGAAGATTCTGGTAATTTATTGGCAAAAAAATTGCGCAGAGAGAAATGAGACAAACGCTTCATTTCTGATGCCGGTGTTGTTGAGCAAAAGCGTCACAAGACGCGGAAGGTGGTGAATGTGGACGAGATCAATGTCTTGAACAGGCGTGCCGTTGAAAGAGAGCTCAGACAAGAAAAAGAAACCGTTTGGTTTGCTGAAAACTAATATATGGCGTCAGAGGCTGGTATCACGATGGAGGAAGTGCTCGATTAACCTGACAAAACACTCCTACCCGCAAGATTGAGGCCATCTTCGTCGTTCATCGATTCTGTCAGTGCAAGTCGCCAGATTTCAGATGTTCTGAACGCAGTGAGAATCCGTGAGCTGAGAAGGCCTGTCAAGAAGAAAAGAGCTCAGACAACGAACACCTGTGTAAATTACCTCTCACCGTGTTCACCCAAGTAATCCGCAATGGCTTGATGGCTCAAGTCAGGGAGCTTCGAGAGGCGTGCTTGAAGACGGATGCCGGGTATCATTGCGTCTAGACGTTCTATGAAAGGCTTGATACCACGAGGAGATTCAGTGCCAATGGGAGGTCCATAAAGCTCGTCTGAATATAGATGAAAATACGGTTTCAGAAGGTGTTAATGATATCATACCTTCAAGTCCGCGAACCCTAGCTCTATTATCGCTGTTTGAGCGCACGAGCTTTGCAGAGGACTTCGGATTGATGAATGGCGAATAGGTGTACTTGGCTGAATAGTATTGCAATCGTTCTCGTTTGACGCTGATCTCGAAGGAAGATTCTTGGATGGAAAGCGATGAGCGGACATGCTTTGGAGAGCCACGAAGGTCGGAGAAGGAGTTGGACCGTTTGCGCTTGAGTGGACGACGAGAGGTTGACGCTTTTGTCGAAGTGGTCTTATCGGGAGGGACGAGTGTCGATTCTGCATCATCGTCGTCGGAGTCTAAAGCTCGAAGCGTTGGCTTGTAGTTCTCGTCTTGAACAAGGACGCGCGCAAAGGAGATCAGGTCGTTTGACGGCTGGGGAAGGCGGGCGGCGGCGCCATGGCGTGCTTTGCGTCTGAGGGAGCTGAGGTACGCTGATGCTGTGATACCGGGGCAGTAGAAGGGATTGTTCTCGTCGATGACAGGCAACGAAGAAGGCATGAGAGCGATAATGCAGTGTGGTGGTGGTAAAAGGTCAAGCTGGAATGAGTGTGACGACGCGTGTCACCTCGCTTCCAATCTTGCTCTTCAACTTCATCGCACTTCTAACAGCATCTAACGTCGTAAAAAAACCACTCGAAAGCACCAAACTTGGCCGACAAGACTGTCTACTTTGTAATCTTCGAGTTTTGGACGTGTCATTCAAGCTTGAGCAGTCGGACAGAATTTGGACAGAATAAGTTGGCAATACGATTGGTGCGCCTTCCCCTTTTAAGATTTTGCTATGATGACTGAGTTGCTCTTTTAGACGCGATTTCGAGTGACTGCGCCGTCCTAGTCTTGAGAGCTTCCGTTTAGTGGGAATATTGCTCCTTCAACATAATCGTCTGTGCTAGTGTGCTTTGACTGGCTCTTCTGGATAATCCTTATGCATGAAACAGATACACCGCCCGCTTCCTTTCTTGCCTGATTTACAAAAAGAATACCAACTCCGACTTGACATCTTCATGCCCTTTCCACCACTTAGGCTTGTTCTCTTGGGGAACGTGGGTTAGTGGACTTGTTTAAACGGTGGCACTACAAAGGCTTAAAACTGACCGAGGTCTTGGCAAGAGTGCCTTGGTCCTCCGTTTCGTCGAAGGTCTGCTACAACTTCATCATTCTCTTAATAACTGACAACACTTGAAGATCGCTTCGACGACGAATACGATCCCACCATTGAAGGTATTCGGCAACCATCTGTTCTCCGTCATTCCTCACATCATCTCGAGAATTTTTCAAAAGGCAATGTGTTGTCGATGGAGAGACCGCACATCTGGAGATTCTTGACGCAGCAGTCCAAGAAGGGTGGTATAGGTGCGCGTTGACTCGTCAACCAATTGATATTACATGAATTTACGCTCTTTTAGTGTCCGGAAGTGGTGGATAACCTATGGAGAAGGGTTCATACTGGTGTACTCAATCACCGATCGCCAATCCTTTGAGCAAATACCTCGACTCCACAACGAAATTCTGCAAATGAAGGGCACCACTGACTCGCACAACCCGTGCTCAATCGTCATCGTTGGGACGAAATGTGACTTGAACACAAAGAGAGAAGTTACAATCGACGGTATGTAGCCCATAACTCCGGGATTGAGAAGGCGGATTAATTGAATATGTCATAGAGGGCCAAGAGCTTGCGAGGAGACTAGAATGTGCTTTTATCGAAACGTCAGCTAAAGAAAATTATCAAGTCGATGAAGCGTTTACTACAATTGTCCGTCAAATCCGGGGCTTGCAACGAAATGACCAAACAGTGAGAAATCCGCTTATTCCCATACACCTACTCCCTTGACTGAGCTATCGCCAGGGACGTGCTTCGATTCGAAGCTCAAGCTTAGACAACGACGAAGAGGCCCGCGCTATCTTTTCCTGTAGTTGTGTCTTGGCGTGAAGTCGGAGAAGCTCTGACAAGCTCAAAGTGTGCTCTTTTTTTACAATTCATGAAGTAAGTACAATTTCCCATTCGAATTTACAGCAACTCATCCATCACAAGCACTGCGAATACTGTGTGGTTTGATCGTACTAGTAAGCGGAATATACTTCTCAAAATATTCAGGACTCACATAGGCATTTGAGTAGGTGCAGGTGTATGGCGCCACACAAGTTGTCGGTCCCGTCCATCCAGTTCCTCCGCACTGGCCATAATGCGCAGCACCCGTTCCTGATGCTGGCTGGGAAGTCGTTGTGGTTGTTCCTCCACCTCCTCCTCCACCGGTACCAGTTCCGCCGCCAGCCAACATCGCGTTGACCTTGTTCTTCACGAACGTCAGTGCTACCGAACCGTATTCGTTGGCGTAGCCTTGATGTGTGTTAGCGTCAGAGCCGTTGCAGCAGTACGGGTCTGCGGAGTCGCAGTAGGATTGGATGTTGGAGGCGTAGGGGCATTGGAAGCCAGCTGGACGAGGAGCGAACTGGGTATCGGGTTAGTATTTTTGCAAAGCAGGAAAAAAAGAGCGCTTACCCCAGATGCTTGGCAGGTTCCGACATTGTACGAGAGCCCTGGGATGTGACGGGGGTCTCCCATGAAGATGGCCGCAGCAATCTTCTTTTGTGCAGCAGCAGAAATAGGGATAGCGGTGTTGCTCAAACCCTCGTTAGTGTCGCCTCCACCACAGTATGCGTCATCGAAGATTTGACCACCCTTGAAGGTTTCTTTCAATCCCAGCATGCAAATTGAAGCCGAAGCGAGCGTACCTGCGAATACCCGACGAGGACGAGAACGGTGTTGGGGCACTTGCTGTTGAATGAGTTGACCTGGTTCGTAACGGCGGTGACTCCTTGGACAACCGAGTTGGCGTATGAGACGCCGCCACACGAGGATTGTCCGCCACATGCTGGGTATGTGATCGCCTCTGAAGTTGCGCCGGAGTAAGCGTTGACGATGTTCTGTACAACAGACGCAGCAGTTCCGTAGCCTGGTGGTACTGTCGTTTCACGTGCGCCAAAGACGTGAACGTTGGGGCATTGTGCTGCCGCAAAGGGCAGGAGGAAAAGCAAAGCAGCCAATTTCGAGAACATCTCCGCTTCCTTCGAGGGCTACGTCTCTTCGTCTCCACCGCCCGAGCCTTTAAATGTCCGGGAGAAATTGCGGATGGCACAATCCGCTGCTCGCTCGGGTGGGATAACGTCGGCGGGACCCAATTGGTACCGTGACCTATTACCCGCACATGCCACCTCATTCTCGCAGCGCGTGCCCAGCATCCGTGACGGAACAGTCAAAACTCCATGTATGCGATCTCGTAAGCAGGCTAGTTAGAAGAAGCCAACAACTTCTTTAAATAGATACTGAATATCATGAATAGGACGATCATCCGTCTTCAAGGGGTCTTCTTCCAGAGTAATGCCCTCGAGTAACGCCGCATCGTTAGTCCGCCGGCTTCAAGTTAAGGACTGTTCATTCGTTTATTTGTTAGCGACTTGAATGAATAAAAATCTTTATTCATTTCAACAGCATACTCAGGGAGCCTGAGCTTCAGCCTGAGCAAGGGATCACGAGTAGGATTCTTGTCCAACTACAGCTTAAAGTAACTGAAAACGAGAATCAAAGCGGAAGCGACGGGAACGGACGCTACATATAAGGACGCCAACTTGGTCCGACCACGTGCGTTTCTCGGCCATATGTACTTGCAGCTTGCTCAGTCGAGGCCGAGGCGAGTCAGAGGCTGAGATATGCAGAGCATATATGATATAAGTAAGTATTTTCAGAGAAAGTTTGTACCTGCAGATTTCATTATTTCGCGACACATGCTCATGGTTCTACTAAGTAGCGCATTGCTGACTCTTTTGATACTAGGAGAAGGGTGACCTGGGCAACCGTTTGGGTCCTGTGTTTTCGATTCAGTTGAACGCGATACAGAACAATTGTGCTCCATGCCGCCGGCAGGCTCCATTTAGACTTTCGAAATCTTGTAATTGTAAGTTGACGTTAACGTTAGATAGTAATGGAAATATTCAAGTTGAGAACGTTGAGACTGGACCCACTAAACCCGTACTCGTTCGGTTTACAGGCAACAATTCTGACCTCCGAAAGTCGACTGTTAATTAGACCCAATATCGATTATATACTGGAGGTAACAATAAGTGATACAGTGGCTCGATACTATACTAGTATGTACAATGATGCAATGTTACTGGTAGCACACATGATTAGTCCGTAGTCCGAGTCCATAGCCCGATCACGTCTAGTCTAACAACTAGAAACGAGCGTGGATAGCAGAAACGAGTGAGAGAGCGAGTGATTCAACTTCAAGTTGAGTCAGATTGACTGCGGTTTGTCGGTGGGGGCGATGGCATTTTACGAAAGAAGAGTGTCTATTGAGCAGGCCTTGATTCCGAGTCGTGAGGGTGTGTGGCCATTATGGTCCGTCAATTCGTCGGCCAGACTGGAGAAGGATGGCTGCAACGACGCAGACTTCGAGCAGCCCGATTTGGATGGCCTCTGCTGAGATTTCGAGTAGCAATGCGCCGGTTTCGACTTCTGAAGATATGCGGCCAAACATTCGCGGCTGCCGGAGGCCTGAAGTGTAAAGCTGCGACAGCCCACACACATCAGCCTGCGAGATAGAAAAAGAAGCGATACATACCGAGATATGGGTCCCCTCAGGCAGCCAAACAAATGGTTTATCTCGGGCCACCATTGTACGGTAGCTAGGAGTACGTGAGCTTGCAGAATTGGGGCGAAGCAGTGGAATGCGCACCTTTTTTCCGACGACAAAGCTAGCCACTCGCTTGTCGACCTTTTTGACACTATCCCCTTGACCTCTACCATTGGTGTCGCCATCATGTCGGCGCCGGACCATTGAATTACCGCCACTGGCGCATTGGACCCTGCTTGGGCGACAACGGTGAACCCCACGGCAGGGGCATCCGTGCGTATCCGGAAGTAGGTTTTCGCGTTAGGCGGGCCGGTGACGCTGGCGTTCAGAAGCCCGCCGTCAGATATGCTGGCTTCGAGGGGCGTGAAGCGGAATGTCATGAAGGCCGGTCGCGGATTTTGTGTGGGATAAGGAAGGGCTCCGTAGATGGAAGGCTGGGGCGTTGTCGATGCGCGTGAGGCAGAAGATGACCCGGACGACGACGCCGGGGAAATAGGGGAGGTAGCGCCGATGGAAGAAGGCTGCAACCATTGGGAGAACGGATGGTCGTCGTACATGGCGCCTCTGGCGAGGAGATTTGTTCGGGGGAATGGGAGGTTCAAGTCCAAAGCACTAGGCGCCCCAGACGGGTGGTATAAGTACTGCTTCAGCCCCTTCTCTGGGTATATCGTGGTGGGAAGTTGATCCTGCTTTGTGGCGAGTGCGCATGGAGCTTTTGGCGCATCAAAGTACATGGGAGAGATGGTTAATAGGGAGATTTCAGAGGCCGATGGTCAACCTGTGGGTGTGATGACGATGTGGCATCCTGTCAAAAGGCGGTGTCTTGGTGTGGCCGATCCCGCCGATCCATGCATGTTTGAAGATTTTCGATGGTGTCGCGGACTGATACTGCGGGTGACGCAAGATTGTCAGGACCGGATCGGAGTTTCATTATTGACTTGGTCCTGCGGACGGGAGTCAATGGGCCATGATGATTCAGCAACAAAATCTTGCCTACATAACTAGAAACCTTGTCACTATGAAATTCGTGTCAGCCTCACCAGCAAACCTGAAGCGCCTGCATCGATGCCACAATCGCTGCCGCGTGGAACCAATCCTTGATTTACTGTCTGGAAAAGACATAGGTAGCCGCTAGTGACTACTGTTGGCAACGACGTAAACTAGTTGCTAGTGTCGGCCAACTGCTGTTTCATGGTCGTGGTTGGCGAGAAAGTTGTTCTTGGCCTTATGATAGCCGAAATGATTGGCGTCACTGAAAGCGTCCGAACTCGAACTCGTTCAAAACTTGAACTTGAAGGAAGCATTTTTCTGGGCTTATTACTTGACATCAAGCGCGGTTGGGAGGCTAGTTTGATGTTACTTGGTGTCATTTCTTGTCTTTCCTATCGCTCGGTTGCCGCATCGACGATATTGCTCGCGATCTCACTGACACCCAGCACCAGACACTAGATTGTGAGCAGGTATATGGAGGAAAAAAGCATATACTCACTCTGAATAGCAAAAGGTATAGTGCCCGCGCACATGTACTCATGGTTGCGAAGAAGACTCCACGCCACGTCACGGTCACGACTCGTGATCCTCAGGTCACATTGTTGATACGTTTCTCTTTGCTTTACTTGCTTGCTTGGATAGGGAATCCGACGAAGGATCCCCGAAGAAACTACTCCTGCCAGTATTAGAAACTGACGGCCGAGGATGGACTCCCATCTTAGAATTTCGAATCCGCACCTGGCGGAATCTGGCTTCGATGGCCCCGCCATGCAACAGTCCAGCAGCATCGCTACTCTCCCCACGGAGCTCCTCGTCGCCGTTCTTGACCAGTGCCCCGACATTGTGCCCGACGGCCCCGACTTCCAATCGGCGCACTTTCTCGCCTACGCCCGGCTTGCGCAGGTCTGCCGACGGTGGCGAGATGTCCTCCTCGACCGCCCCCAGTACTGGTCACATGTCGTCCTGTCCAAGCCGCGCTGGGCGGAGGAGATGCTGCTCCGCTCGAAGACCGCCCCGCTGACCGTGGGCCTGAACTTTGGGGCGTCGTCGCCCGAGAGCGCAACGGCGCGGACGATGCTCTTTGAGCGATTCGACCGCGTCAAAGAAATCCGGATCAAACGCGCGCTGTACAGCGGCGACCCGCCCGTATTTTCCCAGCCCGCGCCGATGCTCGAGCGGCTGTACATCCGCATTTCGACCGGCTACATCTATCACTTCCGTGACAACGTGTTTGCGGGCGGCGAGGCGCCAAGGCTCCGCCACCTTTCCCTCGACAACTGTGTGCTCCCGAAAGAGTGCCGGGCCTTGTGGCGGGGCCTCACTTCCCTGGAGCTGACCAGAATCGCCCATAAAGCCAATGCGCTGATTCACGAGCTCCTCGGCTTCTTGCGCGACAATGCGCCGCGTCTCCGCGTGCTGACGCTGAACAAGGTCGTGGAGAACAGGCACTCTGACTTGACAGCGCGTGAAAGCGCCAAGCGCAATCCAATTCGTCTCGAGGAGCTGGAGGAGCTGACGCTTCGCCCGGGCAACTGGGCATGTACCACGTTTCTCCAGTGTGCGGTGCTCCCCAAAATGCGGCGGCTCGTGCTGGAGATTTGCCCAGGAGACCCCGACGAGCGCGGCATCTGGGAGGTGCTGGATGGCGTCGGCCCGGGTAGCCGGATCTGTAGCTTGGAGCTGCGCGACACTGTTTTACCTGGCGAGGATGACCAGATCGCGTTCGAAATGCGCCTCCACGCCACGGAGCTCGAAACCAGCGTCCCCGTGTTCACCATCCGCTTCGTGCCAACCACAGTCCAGGACCGGCGCGAGCATTGGCGCGAGAAACTCATTAGCGCGATGCTCACGCACTCGTTGCCGCCCGAGCACGGCCAGCTGACTGCCCTTACCATCGCGTGCAACGACCTCGACTGGGCTGTCGCCGGCCTCCTCCGCCAGCACTCAATCCGCAACATAATCTTCTACCGCTCTCCCTCGACGTTTTTGTCTGCATTGGCAGCTCATTCAAGTCTCCAGCCGAACTCAGATCAGCCCCCGCTGTCTGGCCTCTTGCGACTTGCCTTCGTTGGCATCGTGTTCGCACATGCACGCGCCAGCAAGACACATCATACACCGGTTTTCCTCGACTGGCTGTCTCACCGACTCGACGAGCACAAGCTTGAGCAACTCAACTTCGACTATTGCACGTCCGACAACGGCGCGCCGTATCCGCCCGCCGACGCCCGCCCCGCGTTGGCAGAGCTCGTGGGCAGGTTAGTCGTGTTGGAGAATTAGGCGTCTAGGTGGTAGGTAAGTACTACGTACTATATAATCAGCCTGCGTGCAATCCGTTATTTAGTACTATGTACCCTGCCTCGCACTAGCCTAGCCAGCCAGTGACTTACTATGATACTATATACCAACTGCCCCCTTCCTTTATTTACATACATTCTTTTCCATCCATTCAAGAAACTGCTGCGGTACTACTGTCGTAATTAGACCATAAGTTCATCAATTTTGAATTTTTTCATGCCTGAGAGGGCCAAAAAATTTTCTTTTGATTTTAGGCGAATTTTAATGCTATGTTTTTTTGGCCTGATTATGCATTATATGAACTTGTGGTCTTTTTTTTTTGGAGTGTTTGGAGTAATGAACTTCAGTCTGCAGAAGCATTCCAAAGAACATCCGCTGGGTGCACTGGGGATAGCCAGTAAAATGCTGGGAAGTAAGCTCGGGGGGGAAATGCCTTTATGCACATTTTAAAACCAGTGTGGGACTCCTACCATTAGTGGGGGTTCATCCAACACCTTTCTTCAAGAGTAGAATACTGTCAGGGGATGAGGGTCCAGGTGCCTAGTTGATACCAAAGCTGTTGTCTGGAATTGCCAATACCGGTTCCGAGGTGACCACTTGGAATGCAGAAGCCTCCGCATCACCCCAAGTCCATTGCTGGTCCTTCTTGGTGAGCGCAAAGAGAGGTTGCGCGAGGGCCGAGAAGTCCCAAATGAACCTGCGGTAGAAATTAGCGAACCCAAGGAACTGCTGAATGTCCTTCTTGTTTTCTAGAGTCGGCCAAGCAGAGACACCTGCGACCTTGACGGGTCTATTTTGATGTGGTTGTGGAAGATGATGACTCTGAGGTACTTGATTGAAAGTCTTTTAAAGTTGCACTTCTCCGCTCGGACAAGGGGGTATCAGAAAAAAAATAACGGAACATACGTTGGACTTTTTGTTTAAGCCCTTCCAGGGGACCCACCGACCGTGACTGTGACGTGACATCACCATATTAGGAAGGTAATTCACACAGTCATGTGATCTGATAGCATCAAACTCAGTCAGTCCTCTAAAATTTCCAAGAACATTAATAGAAACATAGACTTCTAGCTATATATATATCTTGTAGACAAAGTCCTGATATAGTCATTGTCTTACAAATCTCACTCCAGAGTACAGATATCCATCCCCATATGGTCTGATTTGTCACAATGTTCCATCTGATGATGAGATACTGAAAAATAACCACTTGTGAGATTGTTGATACTTAATTATGGATGTATAGTGCACCAAACAGTACTTGTAACCCATCCTAAGACAATTTTGACTTACCATTTCAGCCAAAAAGTTTCTACCAAACAATTTTTTTAAGGGTCCGGAGGGGGGACCGACCGACCATCCCGGTTGTCACTTTTTGACACGTGACACCCCCTTGCGCTCGGAGGTACAACTTGTGCTCTTGGAGTTGCTGTAAGACCTCCTGAACGATCTGCCGGTGTTTCTAAAGGTCGGAATGGGCAATCAAGATGTTGTCAAGGTAGATTATGATGTCTCCGGAGAGGATGAGGTCCTGAAAAATGTCATTCATCATCATTTGGAACATCACAGGGGAGTTTGTCAGGCCGAAATACATTACCAAGGGCTCAAACAGGCTTCGGCTAGTCCAGAAAGCCGCTTTCCACTTGTCACCTTCTTTGATCTGAACGTTGTTGAATCCCCAATGAACATCGAGTTTGGTGAACTTGAAGTAACAAGCACCTTTGAACTGGTTGATGAGGTTGCAGATCAGCGGCAGGAGGTACCGGTTTTTGACGGTTATTGTGTTAAGAGCCCACTAGTTCTAGATGAAGTGGAGTCCGCCATCCTTCTTCTTGATGAAGAAGACCAGAGATGCCATCGGAGACTTGGAGGGGCAAATCCGGCCCATTAGGAAAAAGCAAAATCCACTGTAGCCAAGGGGGCAAGTTCTGTAGCACAATGTAGTCAATATAGTATCTCAGTTAAATTTGTAGCACAAATGTAGCACTTTGTAGACAGCTTGACCAATACCGTAGCACTATATTACTCTTATGTTAAGCAGATGTCGTGTGAATGTATGCACATGTTTGGCATCAGCTTTAGCAATTTATTTACTCCACATTTCCACTTTTGGGACCACTGCTGTTGAAACCCTAATTTGGTAAGAAAAGCTGTAAAGTCTAATTGGGACACAAAGCTGTAAAATCAAGATTTTACATCAAGTACCATAAACAAGTCCAATCTAAGGCTATTTGTGATGTTGTTCTTGGCTGCAATATCAGTATAGAGGGCATGCAGACCTTGATATTTCATAAACTCATGAATAAAATTGGCACATTCAGTCTGCAAAAAATTGTGAAACAACATTTAAAGCTGGGGCGTAGCCCCAGCCTGTCTAGTAGAATATATAGTTTATGCAGCAAACTCTACAAGGCATTTATTATAGATACCATGCTTGGTAATTAACTCTAGTTTAATTATTCCACATCTCGTAATAATACAAAATCAATATGTCGAAGATATGGATTGAGATAGAAAGATTGGACCATATCAAGCACATTTCCTGAAGTCAAACCAGCTGGAATTTCCCGCGGTAACTTAGGAATAAGATGGCAGCTTTAGTTGATCAGTGTGATAGGAATGATTGAAGCACGTCGCCGGTTTTGATGAGATGCGGGTGAAATCTTGAACATACCAAGAGTTTCATCTCTCTGGGTGAGTGGTTTGAACCACTCAATATATGCAAGTGGTGTTTCAAACCATCCGTATTCCATTGGAAGTGCAAATATAGCCCGGACACGGCCTGCAAAAAGGCCTTAAAAGATCGTTAGAATCGTGTGTACCAACAACATAAACATACCAGTTATGCTGAGACGATTTGCTTTCTCAGGAGTTGTCTTCCAAGCCAAAACAGTATTAAAATGAGAATCAACTGCCTTCTTCAGGCCCTGAGCTGGAAGAGCACGTGTTGCACGGACTATGTCCGCAATAGAAAGGGTGGAGACCTGCACAACAGGGGGGATTGTGATTGTTACCCGTTTGTATACTGGGAAATGTGCTGTGATGGAATTGAAGTCATTGGGAAGGATGGATTTGGTGGATAGGAAGGCATGGAGATGCGTGAGGAAGTCAGCAGTCCCAAATTCCTGCTTGAGTATTTGGACAGAAATGGAAAATGGTGCGTTTTTTGCGATTTTGAAGGCAGAAGAGGAGGGGGTATTGTTATCATCCAAATCATTATCATCAGTGTCGGCATCTTTGTTGTTTGTCGGAGGGATGATAATAGCATCGTCATCATTCTCGTCTTCCGGCTCAAAATCATCAACTGGGGCTGAGTAGCCAGGTAACGCCCACTGCAGGTAGGCCCCAAAGCGGCGGAGTGATTCCCATCGTGTGAGAAACCGTGTCATTTGCGCCATGTTGTCAGGGGAACCTCCCTTTTGGCCCCTCGGAGACGCCTCCGATTCCGGTCCGACTCCGGTTCCGTCTCCGGTCCGGCCCTCCATCTCGCCCGCACAATCACCGATCCGTCAACGCCCTCCCGACGGTCGCCCTGGGACCTCGCCTGCGACGCCGCCCAAGCCTTCTGTGCCCGACAGCGGCAGCTACGGACAAGCAGTATATAGTCAGCTACCTAGCAGGCGGACCCTTAGAGTTTCTTCTCTTTGGATCCTCCCCTGCTAGGTCAGCTTCATTTGTATTCACTTACCAATGTTCACGCTTTGGATCCTCCCCTGCTAGGACCTTGATCTCAGGCCTCCGGGGTTGCCCTTACAGCAGAAGAAACTCTCTACGGGATCAACCGGACAAGATTGCCAGGTTCGGCGCTGACTCAGGCTCGGAGTACGAGTCCGTTCCGCCCTCGTCACCGCCCCTGCCACTTGTCCCCTCCTCCTCTACTCCTGTGGTCCCCGCACCCGTCATGCCGTCCGGAGTCACTCCTACCGCAGACGCCCGGCTGGACTCACTCGAGGCGAAAATCGATAGCCTAACTGAGGCCCTTGCTTTACTCACCAACCAGGCTTCCGCTGCCGCTGCCGCCGCTAATAATGCTGGCGGACCCCAAACACCATCGCCGGAGACGTCGATTCCGACTCCGACTCCGGTCCAGGGCGACTCGAAGCCCTTTTTGGCGACATCAACCTCGCCTCAAAATTGGTCTTGCGACCAAACCCCCCGTTCACCTTCAACGGCGACCGGAAACGGCGGCCGCGTTGCCTCTACGCGGTCCGCACCTACGCCCGCCTTGCCCCTGAGGCCTTCGTGGTCAACGGAGAGGCGAGCGAGGAAAAGGCTGTCCGCTATGCCATGTCGTTTATGGCAGAAGGACCCGCTCAGCAATGGGCGGAGCGCCACGGAAGCAAAGCCCCGTTTCCGTTTCCGTCCTGGGGCTCGTTCTGTTTCCGAGTTTCGACTCCGGTTCGTCGAGGAGAATGAGCAAGATCACGATCTCTCCAAGCTGGAGACTTCCGCCTATCACATGGGTACAAAGGATGTCTACCAGTACACCGACGACTTCGAGGACCTGATGGACCTCGCCGGATTCGAAGACGCGCTGGTCAAGGTGACCAAGTTCCGCCACGGACTTGACCCCCTGATCAATAACGGAATCACGTCCTCGAACGACCCCCGGACCTCCGGGATTACCTTAGCTGGCGCACCGGGCCTTCCGTCAATACGAGGCCCTGGTCCGGGCCAAGCTGATCAAGTCAGCCGCCCCCAAGACGCCTGGCGGTTTGATTCGGACTCCGTTTCCGGTCAACCGCATCCCGGCTCCGGCCCCTTTCCGCCCGGTGGCTCCGGTCGTGCCACCCGCGGCCCGCGCCCCCCTCCAGCGCCTCCAGCTCCCGTCCCCTATGGAGTTGGATCGCACCAGGGCTCGGGGTGCCCCTCGTCGCGCCTGCTTCAGGTGCGGCGACCCAAAACCATCTCGCCCGGGATTGCCCCCCCCCGCCGATGTCCGCTCAATGGACATCCTCGACGAGGTGATCCAACAACTCGGTGACGAGATGTTAGCGGAGTTGATCGCCCGCTACACGGACACAGCTGCCCTGCCGGAGACGGCAGCGGAGTCGATGGCCGGAGAGGATTTTGTCCCCCGCGACGAGTGCCTGGTGTGCCCTCGTTCGCGTCTATAAATCGCTTTTGCCTCTTTGTATGATGAATGCAGTTCCTTGCCCTACAATGAGCCCGAAACGAAAGACACACCCTCTCCTGCCCCCGCCTCGACTCCGTCTCCGACTCCGCCCGCGACTCCGGTCATTGTCCTCCACCGCCTCACTGCCTGGGAAAAGAAACTGCCCAAGCAGTACACCGTTGCCGCTGCCCCTGGGGCGAACTCCCTCCACCTCCCGTTAGAGCTCGAGTCCACCACCAGCGCGCTGAAGCTCTCACTCTCTGGGCTTGTCGACTGTGGTGCCACCTCCGACTTCATTGACACGAACTATGTTGCTCGGAATGGCATTCCGGTCCGCACCCTCGATCAGCCGATTCCGGTTTTCAATGTCGATGGCACCCCCAATGACGCTGGCTCCATCAAACAGATCGCGGACTTGGTCCTGCGCTACAAGGGCCATGCCGAACGAGTTCAGCTGGCCGTCACCCATCTTGGCAAGCAAGACCTCATCCTGGGGTATTCCTGGTTGCGGAAACATAACCCAGAGATCAATTGGGAAACCAAGGAGGTCAAGATGACACGGTGCCCCCAATTGCTCGACCTGCCGTGAGGAAGAGCGGGTCGAACGGACCGAAGTTGCGGCGACTCCGGTCGCTCAGAAGCGTCTCCGCTCCGGCCCGTTCCCCTCGGTCTGCGCCATGGACCTTTCTGGGTCTGATGACGGAGACGATTCCGTCTCCGGTGACGACTCCGGCCTGCCTGATCTGACGCCGGACTCCGACGACGACGATGACGATGGTCAGCTTGAAGATGGTGACCGCATCTTCTACACCTCGTTCCGCCCCTCGGAGGAGATACGCGCTGGCAGTACTGTCTCGCAACGCCTGGCCGGGCCTTCGCCAGGAACTCCGCCCCTCCGCCCTCCGAGATCCCGGACTGGGCTAAGGAGTTCCAGGACGTCTTCAACAAGGAGTCCTTCGACACGCTACCGGAGCGGAGAGCCTGGGACCACGCCATTGAACTCGTCCCCGACGCTAAGCCCACCAACTGCAAGGTGTACCCCATCTCGCCCCTCGGGCAACGCGAGCTCGACGCGTTCATCGAGGAAGGGCTTTCGACGGGCCGGATTCGCCCCTCCAAGTCTCCGATGGCGTCTCCGGTCTTCTTCGTCAAGAAGAAGGACGGCGGACTCCGCTTCGTCCAGGACTACCGTGCTCTCAACGCGATGACTGTCAAAAACCGGTACCCCCTTCCGCTGATCAACGACCTCATCAACCGGCTCAAAGGCGCTCGTTACTTCACCAAACTCGACGTCCGTTGGGGCTTCAACAACGTCCGGATCAAGGAAGGTGACGAGTGGAAAGCGGCTTTCCGGACTAACCGAGGCCTGTTCGAGCCCTTGGTGATGTATTTCGGCCTGACAAACTCTCCCGACGTTCCAAACGATGATGAATGACATTTTTCAGGACCTCATCCTCTCCGGAGACGTCATGATCTACCTTGACGACATCTTGATCGCCCATTCCGACCTCCGGAAACACCGGCAGATTGTTCAGGAGGTCTTGCGGCGACTCCGAGAGCACAAGTTGTACCTCCGAGCGGAGAAGTGCGACTTTGAAAAATCGTCAATCGAGTACCTCGGAGTCATCATCTCCCACAACCACGTCGAAATGGACCCCGTCAAGGTCGCAGGCGTCTCCGCTTGGCCGACTCCGGAAAACAAGAAGGACATTCAGCAGTTCCTCGGGTTCGCTAACTTCTACCGCAGGTTCATTCGGGACTTCTCGACCCTTGCGCGCCCTCTTTTCGTGCTCACCAAGAAGGACCAGCAATGGACTTGGGGCGACGCGGAGGCCTCCGCGTTCCAAGCGATCAAGGACGCGGTCACCTCGGAACCGGTCCTGGCGATTCCGGACGACACACGGCCTTTCCGACTCGAGGCGGACAGCTCTGATTATGCGACGGGGGCGGTTCTTTCACAATCCGCCCCGGACGGGAAGTGGCACCCTGTAGCATTCTATTCCAAAAGCTTAAATGATGTCCAGCGCAACTACGAAATCCACGACAAGGAGATGCTCACGATCATCCGCGCACTCGAGGAGTATAGACACTTCCTCGAGGGCGCCGCGCACCCTGTCGAGATTTGGACTGACCATAAGAATTTGGAGTACTTCAGGAAGACGCAACACCTCAACCGGAGACAGGCCCGGTGGTCTCTGTACCTCTCCCGGTTCGACTTCACGCTGCACCACAAGCCTGGCCGCGATATGGGTCGGCCTGACGCCCTCTCCCGGAGACCCGACCACGGAGTCGATTCCGACAACTCCGACGTCGTCCTTCTGCGGCCTGAACTCTTCCACGTCCGCGCACTCGAGGGCGTTTCCCGTTTCGGTCCCGGCTCTGAACTCCTCCGTGACATCCGTGATGCCCTCTCCGGTGAGCCTGACCTGGAGGAGCCCGTCGCACTAGCGGCCCGGCAACTTCTTAAGGTTCAAGGTCAAGCTCGAGGCCCCCGCTCCTCACGTTCTGACGAGTGGGCCGTCTCCGGCGGTCTTCTCCATTTCCGAGGAAAGATCGTCGTACCAAAAGACAAGGACCTCCGGAGACGCATCATCGAGCTCTGCCATGACACCCGAGTCGCCGGACACGCAGGTCGCTTTCAAGACCCTGGAGTTGGTCTCCCGGAACTACTGGTGGCCTCAGATGTCTCGCCATATCGGCCGGTATGTTGCGACCTGTGACTTGTGCTGTCGCACCAAGGCACTCCGGAGACTGCCCCACGGAGAACTGCACCCCACGGAAACGCCTCCGGAACGCTGGCATACCGTCTCCGTCGACTTCATCGTAGAGCTTCCCGAAGCCCATGGGTACGACGCGATCATGGTCGTCGTTGACACCCTCGGAAAGCGCGCCCACTTCTCAGAGTGTCATACGACGGTCGATGCAGTAGGGGCAGCCCGCCTCTACTACCGGAATGTCTGGCGGCACCATGGGACTCCGGAGAAGTACGTCTCCGACCGCGGCTCGCAGTTCATCGCGGACTTCACCCGAGAACTTTGGCGTCTAATCGGCATCAAGCCCGCCACGTCCACCGCGTACCACCCGCAGACAGACGGTCAGACAGAGCGCGTCAACCAGGAGCTGGAGCAGTACTTCGGGGATCTTCACCAACTACCAGCAGGACGACTGGGATGAGCTGATTCCGGCCGCGGAGTTCGCCTACAACAACCACGTTCACTCCTCCACGCAGCAGGTCCCCTTCATGACGGACACGGGACGGCTCCCGCGCATGGGCTTCAACCCGGAGTCCGTTCCGCCATGGAGTCAGTGAACGAGTTCCGCGACCGGATCGCCACTGGTGTTGCTGAAGCCAAGGCCGCGCTCACTAAGGCCAAAGAGGAGTACAAGCGCTACTACGACCGGAGACGGACTCCGTCTCCGGAGTTTAAGGTTGGCGACCGTGTTTGGCTAGATGCCTCTGACATCAGGACGACTCGCCCCTCGGAAAAGTTCTCCCATCGCCGCCTCGGACCGTTCAAGATAGTCGCGGAGATCAGCAAAGGTGCCTACAAGCTCGACCTCCCTCCGCGCTACTCGAAGCTCCACCCGGTCTTCCCCGTCGTCAAGCTCGAGCTCGCTCAGGACGACCCCTTCGACGGACGCCCCGGCTACGACCAGCCCCCTCCGGACCTCGAGGACGGAGTCCCGGAGTGGGAAGTAGAGGAAATCCTGGACGCAAGGGTGAGGTATAAGCGGCTGAACTACTTCGTCAGATGGAAAGGCTACGACGCATCGCACGACCAATGGGTCCGCTTCGACCGTGTCTTCGCCCCGGAGAAAATTGCAGAGTTCTATCGTAAGTACCCTGGCAAGCCACGACACATCGCCTCCGCGACCTTCGATTCGATTCCGTTCCGGTCTATGCGTCGGGACGCCGCATTCAAAGGGGGGGGGTGATGTCAGGGGAACCTCCCTTTTGGCCCCTCGGAGACGCCTCCGATTCCGGTCCGACTCCGGTTCCGTCTCCGGTCCGGCCCTCCATCTCGCCCGCACAATCACCGATCCGTCAACGCCCTCCCGACGGTCGCCCTGGGACCTCGCCTGCGACGCCGCCCAAGCCTTCTGTGCCCGACAGCGGCAGCTACGGACAAGCAGTATATAGTCAGCTACCTAGCAGGCGGACCCTTAGAGTTTCTTCTCTTTGGATCCTCCCCTGCTAGGTCAGCTTCATTTGTATTCGCTTACCAATGTTCACGCTTTGGATCCTCCCCTGCTAGGACCTTGATCTCAGGCCTCCGGGGTTGCCCTTACACATGTAGTTTTACAATTTGATGCCCGATAACCCAGCTTTGCACAATCTATATGCAAGCACTCCGAAATTTCGGTGTTAAATTGGCCTGTGGTGCCCCCAAGCCGAATTAATTCGACATAGTGCCACATCTGGTGAACCTTCGGAATGTTGAAATGCTCCCGGATGCCCATCTTCAGAAAGACGGCCTTATTGGCATGAAAGAGATGCCATGCCGCCTCCAGTTTCATAAGAGAGCGGGTCGTATGAGTGCGAAAATGAGCACAATAGATAAAATCAAGGATTCCTCGCACCGCAAAGCAGGACCTGCGTTCCAGCAACACCGCTCAATACACCTAGAAACACCTTCTCCATATTCTTATACTCGTTTCCCGTCCATTGGGATACAAGGGAAATGCCCTGGCGGAAATGGCGAAGGCTAGGGTGATTGACCATGATTTGGAAACACTTGTCGATCGCTCGGTCATTGGCCGCGTTTGACCCACCCAGTGAAGCAGTTGCCCAGGATACGGTATGGTCTTTGAAGACACCCTTGTGCAGCTGGTGGAGAAGATCTGGTTGGAAGCACTGATAGATATTGCAATGCGGCAGCTTTTTCCAGAAAGGGTCAATATGGCGAAGGCCAAGTCCTTCGAACTCGGGTGGTTGTAGCCTGCTAGCGTGCTGACGCAGTATACGGAGGGTTTGCTGGGGATCCCGAAGGGGAGAAGAAATCGGGTCACCGCGTTTATTCGGATGGACTTCACACCCAGTATATTGATTCTCGTCGCAGCAACTGACCAGGCAACACTCTGGATGATCAGCAAGATATGCGGCAAGAATTGGGTGCTGTTGCCGGAAGTACTTGTCGGCACAGAGCATCTTAATACCCTCCTCGCCAGCCTTCTCGAGTGTTTGGAGTAGTGTATGCATACAGTCGTGAAAGAGTTGGTATCGCGCGCTTGAACGCTTGGCCTTTGTGAAGCACGAAAACTTGGAAACGGGGATATATCCAATTAGAAGGGTTCCCGCGAACATCCATCAAAAGATTGCCAATAGAAATATATACTGGCCACGCTTTTTTTGTCGCCACTGAATGTCGAAAGCTGGGTTTCATCAGAGGCAATGATTATGGGACAGACAGAGTGTCCAAGGGGAATATTTCCCTGTGAAAGAGTTCAAGAGTGGCAGAGAAATGAGTTGTCAAATCCAGACCCGAAGCGTCCACCACAAATCTCCGGTGTACATCTCGCTGTATTCGCAGTTTTTGCATTCGCGGTCGCGGTAAATGCGTTCCGGCACGTAGTGCATATGCTTCTTGAGCGCTGGATTGCCCATGAGCTCTTCGATACACTCGATGGCATCGCGCCGCCGAAACTCAACTGTTTCCTGCTCCAACTTTCCATCTGCACCGACTTTATCGCCCGTAATGGTGATTATCTGGCATTTCCACTCTGGACCTGCTGGAAGAGAGTCGATCTTTTGGAAGAATGAATATGCGTTGTGTGAAGATGGTTTCACGCCGTATTTAATCTGACAGTCAGATTTGAGTGAAAATTCACGATTATGACACTGCCGTACGCACCTTGTCAAGCTTGAAGAACTCTTCGATCTTGCCACGACTCACGCCTGACTCAACGAGCCACCGCGCAAGCTCCCAGTCAGCCTGGTTGTCGAACGGTGCCCACGGAGGCAAGCCCGAGCTCAATCTGTTGCTCTCGGAAGGCCTCAAACACCGTCTTCCCCTTGACTCCATCATCCAGCACACAGCCAGCGAGCTCGGGGTAGTCCTCAGTCCATTGCTTGGAGCCTGGTACATCGGTGTCATCCTCATCCGACCTGTCATCTTCATCCTCGACTTCCTCGACAGATGCAGCCCGGCCACCGCGGGGAGACTGCGAAGGCACTGGAGTGGGGACAACTGGGTCCTCCTGACCATCAAGCACCATCGGCTCGTACGCTGGCACAGGTTGTGCGTCTTCTGGCAGCGGCACAATCTCTTCTTGGCAAGCAGCACCGCCGCCAGCACAAGGCCAAGGCGTTCACGGCATCGAGGCCGTTGTGAGTAGTGGGATGCCAGCCCACGTGATGTCTTTACCTCTTGAAGGCAGATGCGGCAGCAATTCTCGACGGTGTCAGGCATGGATAGCGGATATGGTGAGTGCTTGTCCCGGGTCCGGCGCCCACACCGGCGCTACAAGTCACACCAGCAAGCTCTTCTCTTCTCTGCCATGGGGAAGTCGCAGCGTATTGTGGCAAGCGACGATGACGACTCTACCTCCTCAGACGAGCCGTCTCCTCTTGCTCACAAGGCCAAGAACAAGAAAGGCAATGTACTCGACCTCGCGACTTTACCTCCCAAGCGGTCTCGTGGCAAATCCACCAAACAGAAGGAGAATGGTGAGTGGGCCCTGCCTGGCAATTGTACATTGCTGACATGTCATAGACGATAACCATAAAGAAAAACTCGACGCACAGCTGGCCAAAGTCAACCGGGCGCTCGAGAAAGAGCGTAAAAAAGACAGCGCTGCTTGAAGGTATGTCGTTGCATTCCTTCTTGTCGTGTTCACTTACACTCTTAGCCACTATCCGACAGCACGAAGATGAAGCCGATACCCCTGCTGAGTTGGAGGACGATGTCCCAATCTCTCAATTCGCCTCTGCGGTGCGTGTATGCCGCTATTCCCCTTCTGTCCCTTATATACCTGCCTCCTCTCCAGTTCTCTTCTCAAGTCGTCGCCACCAAGCCCACACCAAAACCCAAGTTGTGGCGCTCCAAGAATGGAGAGACCCCAATCACTGTACCAATGCCTACCCATTGTAAGTCAGCAGCTATTTGTAGTTCACCAGCCTCACATGCGCTAGAACCATTGCAAAACCGGGATGAGCAACCAGTGAACTCAGAACGCGAAACAGGTATGTCCTCTATAGGCAGCTTTAAATGCTTTACCATCCTGCATCCAGATGTCGCTGGTGGACGAAACCAAGCAGACCTTGACTTCGACGATGGCCTTGGGGATGTCGACATACCAGACTTCGACAACAACACCAACGGCCTTGCAATTGTGGGGCAGGACGAGCTGGTCACCCCCACTTCTCGCCGCTGACCCCGCTCTCCATCGCCACACCCTTCGACCGCTTCAAAACGTCCTGGAACGACTTCTTCTCCGGTCACTAGCCCTGGCCCCGACCTTACTCCCCCTCCCGCGATTCGTAAAGCAGATTTCGCCAACGGGAAAGCGCCGACAGGCTCTCGAACCCGGGCCAAGGACTATATGCCCGAAGTGGCGTTGCGTATAAAGTGGTCGCGCAAGCGATACGAGTTGGGGATTTGGACTGTCAACTCATATCCGGGGGCCGAGATGCAGGCGCAATGGGTGCTCGATATCTGGGCTGAGGGGAACAAGGGCAGGGCTATCGAATTAACCGAGCGAATCTCGGCGGTGGTATGCCCATTCTTTTTTGTAACATCATACTAACAGCCTCCAGATTAAAACCTACGGAACGCACGGCCGTAGTACGGTCATCAACATCATCGCCCCCTTGTCAATGCAACATTCGACTTCGACACAGACCCAGGGACTGTTCGCGCTACATGCAAACAACTACTTAAGGACGACGCATTTGCTCACAAGATGGTGTATTATCCAACATTATCCTCTGCTAAACTGACATGGACAACAGAATACCACGACACTGGAGGGATATCTCCAACACCCTCTCATCAAGATTGCCCTTCGCAAGATCTGGTTCCCCAACAAGAGGGGTCGCGGTATCACGCACTCGGCTGATTTCAACCCCATCCCGATTCCTACTCTGGCCCTCGTACTCACCATGGTACGTGTTTCTCAGCTATCGGTATATGACTAATGATATGCAGATTAAGTACTGCATTGACCGCTACTCTACTGGTAGCTTCGACACCAAGGCTGCCTTTGATGAGACCCATAACAAGTCACGATATCAGGCCCATCTCGCAACTCTCAATGAGTGGGCGGAACTGTCCCCGGCAGTGTTGTAGATAAGATGATAAGGGTTATTGAAAATAACCCTTATTTTCAAGGTAATGATATACCCTTATCTTGTGGCTAGCCCAAGATAAGGCCCTTAATATGCTTATTGATTGCATCAAGTAACAGGTCACGGCTGCACAGCCGCCTGTCAGCATGGGTGCTGGGCCACATTTACAGAGGAGGGTTGGCTAATGGAGCTGTTGCTGGCAGAATACAGTGGTAAGGAACTTGATGATGGTGCAATGGAGGGCTCAGGCAATGATCACAACCTTTAAATGAGCTTCAAACCTTGGTGTCCCAAAAAGGAAATTCCCTTAATAAGACCCTTATTATCAGGACCCTTAATAAGGGCAAATTCCATAATAAGCCCTTATCTTGGAGACTGACCCTTATTAAGACCCTTATCTACAACACTGAGTGTTACACGAGCGCATACTATCCAGTCGCTCTAACAGCATGATGACAATTGTCATGGGTTGCGTCTACACAAGAGGAACGGGGCCGGTACTTACAATTTTATTTTTGGTAGTACAAGTGTACATACTGAGTGCAAGCTACTGTATGACGATGCCATAGTGGTAATGGTAGTGTGTGAGAGAAAAGAACGGGCAGGGGAGAGATAGACAGTGGGTGTAGGTCGGCGCCGATGTAGTCTGGGTGTAGGGTGTGAATGTGGATGTAGGTGTGTGGATGTAGATGTAGATGTAAATGTGGTAGAGCAATGTCTAAAAGGGGGGGGACTACTTCCGCTTGAGAAAGACCACGAGGAGGACGATAAACGGGACGTATGTGAACAGCGACACGCCCGCCATGATGCGGCACCGCTTCCGCCAGGTCCGTGCATCTAAAGAAACCAATCAATCACAGCGCCAAGTAAGAAAGAAAAAACCCACCGAACTCGACCTGCGGGTCGTCTAGCACGACCTGCTGGCGCTTCGTGCCCTTCTCGGCATCGCCTGCCTCGAGGCGTCTGGTTTTTGGCACCCCAATCAACACGCCCGCGATCCACCACAGCGGAAAGAGCACGAAGCCGAAGAAGAACATCAGCGCATGTTTCTGGTCACGCAGCTCGCCTGTCGAGAAACTAGTAAATGCCCAACCGGTCGGCTGGACGCGGGGCGGCTTGCGGGGGTCGCGCATCTGGTAGTACGAGCCGGCGCCGGCGGAGACGACGGAGGGCGCATGGGGCGTGACGAGCGCAGAGATGGGTAGGGAGGGTGCTTGCGATATGCGTGAGGGGGAGCGGGCGAGCTGATGTCCCGGGGAGTTGCCGGAGCGGCTAGATATAGTGTTGTTTCGCGAGTGTGGCTGGGAGGGGGGCTGGGAGGGCTGGCGTGATGGTGGCTGGGAGGGGGAGCGCGATTGGGACTGGGAACGGGCGGGTTTAGGGCGATGGGCAGAAGGGGGAGAAGTATTCGCTATAATAATAGTGGTCAGAGAAAAAGAATGAGATCATTCGAAAAACGGACAAGGACGGTCGCTGGTTCTGGACGGCGTGCCCTCTACGACATCCGCAGCCCGGCGCTTGCCCTTGGCAGCACTCCCGCCGTCTTCAAAATTGACAGACCGGGTCGAGCGGATCGTGTCAGGGGAGCCGTTGTTCTTCGTCTGGATAGCGCCCGCAGGCATTAGTGGGAGGGTGTCGGTGGTCGAGTCTGAGGATTCAGGAATGTGGATTGTAGCTGGGGGCACGTCTGAAACGGAAGCACAGGCTTTTTGTTAGCGACGCCCCTCGCACCCTGATTCAGGGCCGACAACACAAAAGACGCACCAGGCCATACAGCGGTCTGGGTATCGGACGACCCGGCCTAGGAGGGGGGGAAGGCGGTAAGTGAGTGGGAGTGGGAGGTGAAAACAAGGGATGGGACGACAGTGAGAATGGGGGGCGTGACGATAACGATATACGTACCACGCGCTTGGCTCGTGCATCAGAAAATTTGATGGCGGCGTCTTCGTCGTGCCTGGAGGCGACTATCCTCGCAGTGTCCTCCGTCCTTGTACTACTATCCAATGCAACCCCGCCGTGACCACTCCCGCTCCCGCTCCCCCCACTTTCGCTTGCGCGCCGCGAATTCGGCCGTGTAAAGGCAGCGAATATGTCCTGCGCTTTCGCCATCGCCTGATCTGTCCTAAACCGCTTCATCTTCCTGCCCGTGTGCATCGACGGTAGCGATGCCGAGCCCCGCCTGAACCGCTCCCTCCCATTATTATTGTTCCACCACGAAGACGGCGATGCAGAAACCGGTGACCCCGTTCCGCTTCGGACCCCGAATATCGGGTGGTCAAGGGCCGGCATTGGCGGGGGAGTTGACGAGGGGGCTTTGGAGGGGGCTGCCCGTGAGCCAAATGTGAATCCCGAGCCCGGGGACGGGGCTGCACGCTCGCTCGGGTGGCTGTGCCCGTGCCCGCTCTGCGAAAAGTCCTCGCGGTCTTGCTGCTGGGACATCGTCGACGGGGTGGCGTAGCCATACGAGGTCGATGCCTGGCTCGGCACTGGCGACTCGTCCCGCGAGCGCTGCTCCCCAAATTCGCTCAAATGCGGGCGGGTGCTTTTACTCCGGCTGCCCCGCCCGAACGTGGACCACCCCAGCAGCCCTGTGTTGGCGCTTGTACTCGCGACCTCCCCAGTTTCTGTCGTTGTAGCTGTAACCGGAGTCGTAGACGTCGTGGCAGACCCTTTTAACCGCGTCATGATCCTCTGTGCCCGCGTCGGACTCGCCACATCTAGATTCTCCAGCGTTGGAGAGGTCGAAGTAATCACGGGAACCGCGCCATCCACTGTGTGTCTCCGTGCGCTAGGCCGGAGCGGTGGGGGCGGTGAAAACGCGTCAAATCTGCCACCCGATTCGGCATCATCATCGTCATCAACGCTGTTGGGCGCCTGTCGCGGTGGCGGCTCCCAATCTGCGACCAACGCATCGAGATCGGGATGTATCCGCCGCTCCACCATTACCGCCTCCCTCTGTTGTTGTTGTAATTGTGTTTGCGAGCCCGGAGTCGTGATAGGCAAAGTCGTTGGTGTGGTCGTTGTCGTCGCAGACAGGCTCTTCGCCCTGCCTCTGCGGAGCCGGGCCCAGAGGCCCTCCATCCGCGTTTATGAAGTGGGGGGGCGTAAGAAGGCGTCTACAGTCTAGGGGACATGGGATAGGGGGCAGGGGAGCTGGCGTTGGCGTTGGCGCGCTGGTCTAGAGCAGGAAGGGCTCGTCACATCGCGTGGAAAGCTACTTTTAATGCATGCGTCCCTGCTGGAACTAAGAGAAGGCAGATTGTGGATGGCTGGGTGAATGAAAGAAGGATGTCGACGGGGTTCTTTGATGCGACAATTTCTCGGCTCGTGACGCCGGGGCCATGCGCGGTCCGCCAGGGGATCTTCGCCACATCTTCGCCCACGGGTGCTGAGCCATAATGAAAAGCATGCTCGGAGCCCTGCGCGGGAGTTTTCAGCCTACTACATTTCCTCGATGTACTATTTTAACGTGACTCTAATCGCGGAACTGCTGTAGTTCCAACTGCACGCGTGGCTGCCATCTGGGCCGTGCAAACCCACTTATTGCAGGATTGATGCAACGTCATTGACATCCCTCGAATCGCACATCCGCCGCCTCCCACACGGACCGACAAACAGCGCATATCGCCGCTTGCAGCCTCCGCTGCGCTCCCAGGGAAATCCCTTGGCCGTCGAATACCACCACCGGCGCGTGCTCGAACCGGGCTAACCAGGGAAGCAATGCTTGGATGTCCTGTTCCGCGAATCGCCGACTGGTGTCAGAGAGCGAGAGGCGGAGCTCAGAGAGGCCCATGATGCGGGATTCGTGGCATGGCTCCAGGGCTGGTCTTACTCTGAGCCAGGAAAGTGTGTTGGATTGTGAGAGAACTGGCCACGGGAGAGAGAGGCTGAGGGACAGCTCAACCTCGTCGCTAGAATGATCTGCGAGTGATTCCAGCGCTACTTCATACGCAGCGTGGTCCGAAAAAGAGAGCGAGACGGAGGACACGATGGGGAAGAGCGGGAGGATGAAGGGGAGGTAGACCGCCGGTGAGCTGAGCTTGTACAGCGGAGCGCGTTTCTGTGATGGTTTTTCGGTAATTCTAACGGCATCGGCCAGCTGGAGGTCAAGGGAATTGTCGCAAAGGACAAGTGTTTGTAGACGTTCGTGTCGCTGGATGAGGATTATGGCGTCGGCTAGCGGGAGGTGTAGCCCTGCATCTAGCGTTAGGTGGTGCAGCCGGTTCTCAAGATTAAGGTGTTTGGCGACAAGGGAGTAGGTATTAGGGGGGATGGTTGGCGTTGGGGAGAGGGAGAGGCTGTTGTTGTATGAAGAGAGGGAGAGTGTGGACACGAGTGTCAGTTTTTCTGGCCCTGGTATCGCATGGATGAATAAAACGTCTTCAAGCCTGAGCACAATGTTTTCAGGAGGGAGGGGTCGTGGCTTCTGCTGTCGTAACAGTTTCCATTCTTGTTTCAGTCCAGGACTGAGATAATAATAAGCTCGATATGGTTGTAAAATTCCAATAACAACTCACATTTTCAAGGTCCTTCTTTGGTCCGGGGGCTTCCAAAACTCCATCGCTCCTTCCTGTACAACCAATACGCGCCTCTTATAGATATACGGCGTGAGGCCTTCCAGTATGGAGGTAAGAAGGACTTTGGGCGACGATGCCGCATGACGGTAGACAACGACATGAGGGATTATTGAAGGTAGAGTTGCGACGATTCGCAAGGCCGCCTCGTAGGGAAGTTGTCGAGACTCCCTCAGAACGACTTTCTGGCATATCGGTGCCAGCGTAACAAGGGCATTGAGGGAGTTGTCCAGGTCGAGCGTGCCGGTTTTCTTCACGTTTGCCAGGGAAATGCCGCAAAGATGGAGGTAGTGCTCGAGGGCGACGTTCCTCAGGCGGCGCGACACTTGTATGGCGGCTCGTAGCTCTGCTTTGTTGAGAGACGCGCAAATGTGGTCGAGGAGCTCATTGGGAAGATGATCCAGTCGCATCTCAATCTCCTTCGCGATGGTTTATGACAAGCACGATGATAGGCAGTGCCAGAATGTTTGTCATCGACGCGCCATTCGATAGGCTGAAAGCCATGATCGGGCCCAACGCGCTGAGGTGTTAGAGGGCTTATCGCGTGGGGTTTGTCCCGCAGGATCGACCTTCTGTAGACACGTCACGGCGTGACTTTCCTTTTCGGGCCCACTCCCGTGCCACTAATTCCTTCTTCTCCACCGTCACGATGAGCTCATGAATCTCCCCGCCACCATCGCGTCGCTCCCCGTCATCCGAACGTCCTCATCGTGCCATTGTGCCCGCTATCGCCGCCGAATCCCCCGCCCTCTTGTCTCAAATTACACACAGCGTCTAATATGGCCGCCCGCCCCGAGCCGATGAATGCGACAACCCACCATGCGAAGGTGAAGGTGTCGCTCACGCTCGGCAAGCCCGTCTTTGTCGCTGGCGGGAACATCACCGGGAAGATGGAGATGGAGTGCAAGGCCGACAAGGGTCTCGGGATTGGCGTCATGATGGTCGAGCTGTATGCCATCCAAGGTCCGTTTTCTCTTCCCCTGCCCTCTGTTTTGTCGATATTGACTCGGGGCGGTAGAGCTTACGTCGCGAGACCACTCCGCCAAATCGACCTTCATCCACAGCAGACGCCTCTTCCAGGGGCCCGGCCTCCCGCCCTCAAATGCCGTCCAAGCGCATCCCATCCCCGGCGAGGCCCCGCTGCCGCCCCAATATCACCAGGCCCGCCGCGGGACTTCCACCTTCATATTCAAATTTCCCCTTCCAGAGTCGTCTCCATCGTCAATCAACTTTGGCGGCGACCTTGCGCGTGTGAGATACGAGCTGCGCGCCAGCGTTGGCGTTGCCTGGCGAGGCGAGAAGCGGCTTGTGGTCGACAAGCTCGATGCCCCCGTCGTCGAATGTCTGCAAGAAGGCCCTGAAAAGCCGCAAGCAGAAGGCGTCGTCGTTGCTGAGAACGGCAAGATCTGGGCACAGGGCAAAGTTGTCGGTGGCGTTGTTGTCGCAGGGGAGAGCGGTTGTGTCGAGCTTCAAGTAAAGAACCACTCGACGAAGAAGGTGCGGATCTACCCCCCTCTTAGACTTTTCACTGACAAGCTCCCTTCGATTCAGAATACCGGTCTTGTCGTAGCGCTCACACGCTCGTTGGTGCTTTCTAATGTCCCCTCCACCGACAAGGCCCCCCTTCAAATCTCTGATACCCTCGTCACGGTACCTTTCCGTGGACAAGAATACATTATACCTCCTGGCGCGGAAGGCGTCGCTAGTCTTGTTTTCGACGTTCCCAAGCATGCTCGTGGTGTCAGAGGAGGCTTGCTGCATGGCGACAACGCTGCAGTCAAACCGACTCATTCCATATTCGAAGTACAATGCGTTATAAGCATCAAGATGACCATGGGCTTTGGCAGGTAACTTTTTTTCGAGTATTACTTCTCATTCTGGAACTGACATCGTCCACAGCAAAGATATAGAACTTGATCTCCCGGTTCAAGTAGTGCATCCTCTCGCTCTCCCTGAACTTCCCGAGCTTCCGCCACAACCACAACCATACCCCTACTACCCTGACCCCCGAGCTGCCCCGCCATATGGCTATTCTGGCCATCCAATAGCTTCACCAATGCCTATCCCCACTGCGTATATGGACCCACAACAAGCGCAAGTCTGGCTTCCACCAGTATCGCATACGCCCCAGCCATATAACCAATATTATTCTCCTGCCCCAGGACAACCGCAATATTATTTCCCTCCTCCTCCAACCCAACCCGTTTATCAGCCTATTCCTCTCAATCTTGCCCGACCACTCAGTGCGGAAGGAATTCGGTCAGATACATTGGCTGTTCCTGGCCTTGGCCCGCCATCAGACGATCCGGCACAAGGCGAAGAAGGAAAGGGTACTCGTGCTTCACGCATCTCGCAGCATCTGCACCAGTCAACGAGGAATCGGTCTGTGTCACCGGTATCACATCGGTATCCTGCTGCAGGTGCAAATTCTGCCCCGATTCCGCAAACTATTCGTGGACTACCTGTTACGATGGATGCGGGTGGTCTCACAGTTTCCCCGCCTTTACATTCCCCGAGACCGGTCCTCAGTCCCAAGACAAGTTTTGCAATCCCCTCGTCTCCGAAGAGTGAGCGGGTTGAGGAGCTGGAGCGGATGGCGGACGAGGTTGCGAAGAAGACGACCAATTTGTCGGGAGACTTGCCCAAGTCGAGTTTGGAGCCTCTGGCGGGTGCCACACTTGCTGTTGTGGAGGACAAGAAGAGCAGCAAGCGGAGGAGCAAGAGCAAAGAGTCCTCGAAGAGCAAGGGCACCAAACGGGAGAAGAAGAAGAAGGCTGAGCTACAAGAGGTAGATGACGTCAACGTTAACAAAACGTTGCCGGGGCCACCCGTTCCGTCTGGAAAAGTCTCTTCAGTACCCGCTCAGCGGACTCGCATCGACACGTATTTCAATGTGGGCCCGTCTTCTCCGCCAGTTCCGGAATCTCCGGGGCTTGCAACGCCGAAGTTGGGGGCAGAATCCTTTACCCCAAAGACGCCCACAATCATGGCTGTCAGCAAGCGACCATCGAATTTGGGCTTGGCGGTGCCGTTACCGACTTCGGAAAGCGGCTTAGATGCGCTGGAAAGGCGGCTGTTGGCGGATGTCGGGACGAGGAAGGTGCCGGCGCCTGCACGACCGGATGCAAGGACGGTTCTTGCAGGTGGGAGTGCGCCTGTTGATATACCGATGAAACGGGATAGCAGCAGTAATGCGGATGATTCGGTTATTTCGAGTTTGACGCTTGCTGGGGAGCGCGAGCGAGAGCTAGAACGGGAGCGCGAGAGGGAGGAGGAGGAGAGGGACCGTGACTCTGACGAGCGGACACAGGGGGCGAAGAAGAGCTCGTCTGGGAGGACGGAGAAGGGAGAGGCTGGTGAGAGGAAGAGCGGCCGCAAGAAGGAGAAACCCAAGGAGGGTGCGGTCCGGAAGGCTGCGAAAGGAAGGGTCGCAGCTTGGCTGGGTGGTATTGACATGGATGCTCCGCCAGATGTCGATGCTGTACCGCCCAGTCCAGAGTTGTTGGATGATGCTGAGCCTGTTGCTCGTGCTGAACGGGTGCTTTCTGACGACGAGCGGGTCGTGAAGAAAGTGACACCTCCGACATCGCCTACCAAAGATAGCGAGGCTTCCCCGAACCCGCGGTCTTCTGGGTTTGTGCCCGTTAAGACATTCAAGCGGGATCCGTTCCAACGGGTGATTGGGGCCAGCCCTGCAGACGAGGCGAAACGGATCGCAGATCTTTGGGCTCACAATACCGTCAAACCCGCGAAAGGGCCGGCGGCTTTACCACGAGTTGTTTCGCCAACACATATACCACAATCCGTTCATACGGATCGGAAGGTGTCTCCTCCGTCTTCAAGGCCAAACGATGCTGCATTGCCGAACATGAAATCACCGCGATTGCCGTTGTTCCCTCCCCCATTGGACCCCGAGGTTAAATACGATATTCGCTCAGCTCGGGGCGGAAGGGGCGGGAAAGTTACTGCGATTACGTCGCTTTGGGCGTCTGGAGCTCTTGCAGAGAAGGACAAATCTCCTCCACCAGCTGCACCCAAGAAACCAGTTGCTTCGGCTGCAGCAGACCTTTTACGCAACAAACCTGCTGTTGCTGCGAAATCTCCGACATCTCCGTTGGCTGCAGCTGCGAAGGCGAAAGCTCCGGTTGCGGCTCCCGCTACGAGTGGTCCTGCCAAAGTGGACAAGGAGAAGCCTTTGACTTCGAGGCCTGTCATCAAGTCTGCAAGTGTCCCCGCGCTTGTTTCCTCTTCCCATGCAACGCCAACACTCTCATCGACCGCCTCACTGGCTAGACCTACGCCAAGGCCATCGCGGCCCACATCTGCTGCGGTTAAACCTCCCCCGACGATTGTCGAATCTGCGAGCGAGGTTGTTGCTGGGTTCAAGGGGCGTGTTCAGGCGAGTCTGGCTGCATCGAGGGCTGCTGCAGTGCCCCCTGGGGCGGCGCCTCCGACGAGTCCAAAGCCTGGTGATCTGGCGTTTGGCCAGGCGCGGCTGCGCGATCTAATCAAGAAGTATCAAGGGCAGACCGCTGCTTGATCTTGTGTTATCGTTTTTGTTTTTACTTTTTTTATTCTCCTCGTTATGATGTTTGTTTTCCTTTTGCATAATCTTTCTCTCTCTCTTGCTACATATACATATCGACCAGCCACATACATAACATACTCATGATGAACATACTGACGAACTCACGATCCATTGACAAGCAATATTTATCCGCATATATACTATCTCCTTCGACTTACTTTTTCTGTTGCGTTACTTATTGGATTTCTTTTTTGTTTGTTCTGTACGCATGTACTGAAGGATGCGTATATACTGATGACATTATGAATGGAGCATGAATGATAGCTCACCAATAAGTGCTAGTAGTGCGATGAATTTTGCGTCTGTTACTTGTCACTGTAATGGCGATAAAGTGGACGGGACGTAAATTCTCCAGCCATTTCAGAGTACAAATGTATTTATTTTCATTCTCCTTTGGTTTAAAATTGGTTTACTAAATGGTAAATACTTGAATGAAAACAGATATGGCATTCAGAGGATGCCATGAACCTATTGGCACTGATACTCCAAAATCACTGACCTGCCAACTTGAACGAGCTTTGTTAACGCAGGCCGAGCCTCGACAGGGGGGCATGGAGCGCCGTTCTCGGACGCGCAGTAATCGAAATGAAGCTCTTCGAGCGGGAGACCGAGAAGTTTCCTCTGAGAGAGCCATGCAAAGAAGGCGTTTTGTATCTGGTTGGTGCGCAACACGATCCCGACGAAGGCGAGTCGCTTAAGGCCCAACAGGGGCCGCTTATCCAAGTCCGGCCGGGAATCCGCGGAAACGGCTGCCAACGCAACCAAGAACATCGATGGAGAGCGGTAGAAAGCCATGTTGCAGATTGACTGCTGCAGAAGTAGGCCGGTAACTGGCCAGTCGAGGTCGTCGCAAGCGACGATTAGCGTAGTCAGCTGGGTGTGCTCGGAAGATCGGGAGTGCCGGTGTGATAACATGGCGATAATTAGCTTCTCGCGCCAATGCTCGCGCCTGCGGTCGACTGTGGTCGGCACAAAGCGAGCAGTGACTCGGAACTCGGGGGTACTGGTTTCGGGTTCCCAGTCTGTGGCACGGCCCAGTCTGATTTCGAATACGATTTGGTCATCACCGTAGTTGCCCTCGCCAGGGAGAATACTGTCGCGCAGCTCAAGGCTGCAGATCTTGTCGGCACCGCCTACACGATCAAGCGCCTCCCAGATTCCGCGCTCGTCGGGGTCGCCAGGGCATATTTCTACGACGAGCTGGCGCATCTTGGGGAGTGCAACACATCGTAGAAAGGCGGTGCACGACCAATTGTTCGGGCGGAGCGTCAGCTCCTTGAGCCTTTCGAGGCGAATCGGATTGCGTATGGTCGCCGGCGCGTATCCGCTCTCAGGCTCCAGTGGCACTAGTATCTTGTTCAGCAAGAGCGCGCGGAGATGCGGCGTGTTGTCTCTGAGGAAGACAAGGAGCTCAAGAATCGGCGCATATATTTCATGAGCGATGCCCGTCAGCTCCAGCGAAGTAAGGCCCCGCCACAATGACCGGCACTCTTTTGGGAGCAAACAGTGGTGGAGGGAAAGATGGCGCAGCCTTGGCGCCTCGCCCGAAAACGAATCCTCACGAAGACCATAGATGTAGTTGGGCTCCATGCGGATGTGCAGCCGCTCCAGCATCGGTGCAGGATGCGCGAATATGGGCGCCGGGCCATCGTTGTACAGCCCGAGTTTGATGTGAATCTCTTTTACTCGATGAAATTGCTCGAAGAGCAGCGTACGTACCGCCGCGGTCTCTGGAGACTCGGAAGCCGCCCCAAAGTTAAGACCCACGGTCAGCGGGGCCGTCTCCGAGCGGACCAGCATCTCCTCTGCCCAGCGCGGCTTTGAGAGAACAATATGTGACCAGTATTGCGGTCTGTCGAGGAGGATGTCTCGCCACCGCTGGCAGACGTGCGAGAGCCGGACGTAGCAGAGAAAGTTTGCGGATTGGAAATCGGGGCCATCTGGCGCGATGTCGGGACAGTCGTCCAGGATGGTGATGAGGATCTCGGTCGGGAGCGTAGAGATGCCACTGCTGGACTCTTGCATTTCGTGATCCAAATACGGCTTTAGCATGAAGGAATGCTGTTGGCGCCTTGGATTCAGAATCAGTAAAATACGACGATTTGATTGGCGCAGATTACAATGCTTATGCTCTGGGAAGGACCCTGAAGGTGTGGTTTCTCGAGTGATCTCGGGCTCTGGTCGGATTCCCTACCCAAAGAAGCGGATTGAGGAAAAGAGAACACGTATCAACATCGTCACCATAGTCACGCGCTGTGACCGGCGGTCACGCGGCGGCTCTCGGCAACTGTCACATTTGATGCATGACAGACTATTTTCCTTGCCCGCTCACGAGACCGCTGGCATCTGGGTCCCATTCCGCAACCGGCACTTCAATGGCGAGTTCCACGGGCCGCGAAGGACGCGGGGGCAGCTACCTCCCATTCAGACACGGATGGTATTCGTGCCCATGCCCCTTGCGCTGGCGTACTTGCCGCTCGAAAGCGAAAGCCGGCCAAGGAAGAGGGCCAAAAAAGGTGCGCAAATCCGTAGCTGGCTCGCGATGGCTTGCTGACGCTGAGTAGAACAGCCTGCCGGTGACTCGGAGCTGTCATACATGGACAGACGGTTGCTGCGGCGCATAGAGAGAAAAGCGGCCAGACGTCGCCAGGCGCAGGCTGCAGCTGCAGCTGCAGCTGCAGCTAGTCAGGCGAGCGGCAGTGGTAGTGGTCAAGAAGGGACAGCGCTGGATGCCGGGGTGTTTGGTGCGACACACGAAGCCTGCAGCCGCCAGAACGAGGAGGCGTCGTTCTTGCTGACGGGCCAGCAATTGGTCGCTGACGCGGTTGGATCGCCCACGCGTCAGTTATCTTAGGTTCTCAACAAAAGTCACTGACGCGTCAGCAATGCCTCGAAGGACCGGTCCGGACGGAGCCGAAGAGCCTATCACGTGGACGCGATCTCCCCCTTAATGCTCGAAATTTTTTCTTGCTCTCAATTGATCAATTGCCATGAATAATAATGAAATCCGCTTAGTTAGTGAATGAATCCTGGTGCGCTCTCCCCCCCCCAACCTCTGAGTCCACACTGGCAGCAAGTACTATCACTCATCGTATGAGTTTGGTATGAGTCATAGCATAGTACATAAGGTCACGGTGGCTTATTGGTGAGATGGTCGTCCCGACGGTTTGTTCTCCCGCCGCTCCGTTTGTTCATTTGCGGTCGTCGAAGATGCCGATGGTCTCGCCACAACGCCACCTCCATCGATCAGGATCACGGGAGATGACCACTGGCAGTGGACACTGGACTGGAAGCGCGAAACTGATGTACATGTGCGCATGAACAGTCCGCACCCACCCGGTGAGGCGCCTGTGGCGGCGTCCCGACGGTCGTCTGGCGCCGTTCTGCGAAAAAAGTCCAGTGATAGGCATCGCACTGTATACGCCTATCGCTACGTAAATAATTTGACGTGTGGCGTGTTACGTGTTACGAGAGGGGAAAGAGTGCGGATCGGATCGGCGCTTTTGCCACTTTTTTTGGTGCACCCTCTCCGTCCACGACCACAGTGACGCCCCTCAGCCAGACAATGCAGACCTCGGTGCTTCACCACTGCGTGGGGTGGGGCTACCATTGGCCGACATGGATGTCTGGCCGCGGCGTGCCGCATTCGGGAAGCACAGATCTGCAAAGATGTGTGTGTGCAAAATTGGAAACGACCCGGATCCAGGGGCACATGTCACGCACTATAAGGCCATGCCGCGCTGTGACGCGCCCCCCAGCTTTCCTTGGTCCCCCATTGCTTGGCTGTCCCATTAATATCCCCACATTCGTTTCGCTATGCGCTCCTACACCCGCCTCGTCTCGGCGCTGTCCCTCCTTTTCACCCTGGTCTCGGCACAGACCCCTCCGTGCGTGGCTGTCCTTTTTTACTAGCCTTTGCTGATTGTGGGGGCAGGTACATCGGCAAGCTGCTCATCCAGCCAGGGCTCAACGCCGGTGCGTGGTCTTCCCCAAATAGTCTTCATATTCTCTGACCCAAGCAACAGGAAAATGCCTTACCGCTGCGAGCAACTCTGACGGCGCCGCCGTAAGCATTGCGCCTTGCACTGGCGCGGACTCACAGCAGTGGACCTTCAATGGCGGTTCCGTCAAGCTGTTCGGCAACAAGTGCCTCGACATCACCAATGGCGCCAACAACAACGGCAATAAGCTCCAGATCTGGACGTGCGGGTCTGGCAACGCCAACCAGCAATTCTACTACACTGGTGACGTCCATCTTGCGTGGACCAACCACGGCAAGTGCATCGAGTGCGTGTTCTTTTTGCCTCTGTCTCTCTCCAATCTGATCTGATGGTCGTCTTTCTTGCAGCTTGACCGACGGCAGCCAGGCCGACGGAAACAGGGTGCGTATATATCTCTTCTGTTCTCGTCACCGTATTCATTCCTCCAGCCACAAATCTGGGACTGCTCTGGTATGATTCCATTTGTTGCGTCACGCATGACGCTCACCACAATGCCAGGCTCCAACCCCAACCAGGTCTGGAACGTCGGCTACATGGCGAACCTCCCGCCCAACACCTCTGAGAACGGCCAGACGGGCACGAACAACTGCGGGACGGGCTCGAGCCAGAGTTCTAAATGCCAGACCGCGTGGATCAAGTGCGTTCTCTCCAGCTAGAAGTGTTTTTTTTTGCGAATAGAATACTGATGACTGTGCATAGCTCGGCCGAGGACTTTTGTCTGTGGGCGCCACCTCAGGTCGGCCTTATTGGCGACACCGAGCGCGAGGAGGTCGCATGGTGCACCAAGTCTGGCCGTGGCACTCGCACGATGCCGAACGGTACCCTCAAGGGTGTCCACTTTGTCAAAACGCCAGATTATGTCCAGGTGCGATTTCTGTGTGGTCATCATCCCGTTAGTCTTGCTGACGAAAAGTAGGTTACTGGTGTCGGCGACTTTACCAAAATAAACATTCCCCGCGGTGACTCTGGTGGGGAGCTCGACCCGCACGGCGCGGACGGCAACGGCAACCCGATTGGCGGCTTGGTGTACGGCAATTCGTTTGGCAATGCCCTCCAGTACCACGAGTGGACGTCGTTCATCTCGGACACGGAGTTCTGCTTCCGGGCATGCACTGGCCCGAACGCGGCGCGCAACTGCCAGCACATCTACGACATCATGGGCTGCTACTGGGTATTCCTCTCCTTATTATTGCTATCTCCAACTTATATCACGCGCAGAATATGCCGGCCAACTACAACTCGGGCACGTTCGAGAACTGCGATGCGGACAACGACGAGCCGATGGGCGTCTACGGCACATCGACATGGTACCAGGGCGTAAACCCCACACCTGCCGCGCACCCCGCCGCCAAGTCGTCCAACTGCAAGAACATCCCGAGCCCCACCGTCGGCCCCGTCCGCCGCCGCAGCGAGATGGGCAGCGGGTTTGACTACGTGAAGGGCCGGGCGCCGGAGCCGACGCCCGCGCCAACGCCGGTGGTAGCACCGGGGCATGCTGATTTGTAATAGTATAGTCCTTGTTATACCTAATAAAATGGATTCTTGAATTATCAACCTTGCTGTTGCTTGTCAAGACTTGACAAGTGTTTCTATAACCATTGACTAAAATTTAAGTTATAGACTATAATATCAACTTAAGTTTTGCCCATCTTATATGGTCCAGTGCTAATAATATATTGGTAGTATAGTGTAATCATATTCAGAGAAAATTTAAAAGCATAAAATACATGATCATAATAATTTTTTTTTCGTCAGATCAGCAGGGTGTGACACATGACTGATGAACTGAATAAAATAGTATACCTTAGGTATGTGGGACTCTGTTAAGTGCCATGCAAGGACCAAAGGCAAGTAGCAGAGAGTCCAAAGGAACAACCAAGTGGCTATTACAACACTATGTTTTTCAGGCTGAATAGAAGTCTGAACAAATACGTGAATCCTGGGGATACGTTTGGAGGAGCCAAAGGTGATGAAGGCTTAGAACCGGGGAGAAGTCAGATAAGAGCAGAGAGCGAGGCAAGAAATGTTAATAACAAAACTGAAGTACAGGAGCATAGAGTACAAGTATTTATACTAAGTGGTAAACATAAAGCATACTATGACCTTGCAGGGAGATCTGATGAGATCTGCATAATCTCCCCTGCGGAATAAGTACAACAGCATAGTAAGTAAGGAGAACAAGAAGACATACATAAGGCAAAGGAAACAAACTAAACACCTAAAGGATATAAGTAAACAAGCAAAAGGCCAAATGGGAAAAGATCTGTATTGATAGTTGGAGAGTCCAAGCTTGTCTGAGGGAGTCCTTGTGCAGAATAACTGTTTGAAGGGAAATGCTCAGATGCCTTCATCACGTAAAAACCCTGTTGCGTTCCAAGGATAACCTCGGAGCGTCTAAAGATGCACGGGATATAACAGACTCTATCTGGATTCATATCTGTATTTGTATCCATATCCATATCCATATCCATGGTGGCTGTGTACTCATGTCCATGGATACAGATACAGATATACCTATGGATTGGAGAAGATATTCATATTAAAATTCTATCAAGGTACTACAAAAATGTTTGTATAGCTATATACCATCAAGCCAATACTGGAGTATTTTACTCAATTTGCATGTCACATGTCACACCTGTCAATTTATACAATATTTTTCATATGTCACAGCAAATTTTCAAAGATCCCTTCCCAAAATAACAATTTATTACAATTTTTGTATGCAATGTCAGGCATTCGGATTGAGTAAAATACTTCAGTATGTAAGAACATCTGTTTTAGCCTGCTGGAGTATATTATCCACCCTCACACCTTCAAGTGTTCACTTATTGTGTAAGGGCAACCCTGGAGGCCTGAGATCAAGGTCTAGCAGGAGAGGATCCAAAGCGTGAACATTGGTAGCAAATACAAATGAAGTTAACCTAGCAGGGGAGGATCCAAAGAGAAGAAACTCTAAGGGTCCGCCTGCTAGGGAGCTGACTATGCTGCCGCTGTTGGGCACAGAAGGCCTGGGCGGCATCGCAGGCAAGGTCCCAGGACGACCGTTGGGAGGGCGTTGACGGATCGGTGATTGTGCGGGCGAGATAGAGGGCCGGACCGGAGTTGGAACTGGAATCGGACCGGAATCGGAATCGTCTCCAAGGGGCCAAAAGGGAGGTTCCCCTGACATATCTATGGTATTATGGATATGAAAAGTTCTATCTGTATCTATATCTGTATAGATAAAATCTGTGTCTCTACATGGATTGCACCTATTCATGCCAATCCCTATTAGTAAGTATATAGAATGGGAAAATAGCTGTGAGGATCCACCTTACTATATTTGAATATTCTATGACTATAATATGCTGAGTATATTTATAACATAACATAATATATTTAAATATAATTATTTAAATATAATTATATTCAAGTGATCAAGCAAGGTATAATATACTCATAATATTCTGAATATATGCAATTTTAATCAACCATAGTATAATTCTGGCCAGCACAATTCATTCAAATACTTGTTGTTTTGTAATTAACTTTCCCTTTGTGGAAACCATTACCATTTGTTTTCCATACAAGAAGTTTATACAAAAACTACTCCTTGGTAAATCAAGTGACATTCTCTGATGATTCTCCTATCAAGTAGTGAAATTTCCTTTTTTGGAAATTTGTCACACTATGTACTATGTAACACTATGTAACAGTGTGACTCAGTGACTCAGTATAACAGTGTGACTCAGTGACTCAGGCGCTGAACTGAACCCAAGTCACTAGGGGTTCAATTATTTATCATTATTCATAGCATGATACACTGATATTACAATTTCTAAGAAAACCCTTTGTGATGTCACATCCCACCAGTGTTAGTTGTCAAGTCCGAGTCTTATAACCCTCAAATTATTCATCATTATTCATACTATAATGGACTTAGACAAAAAACAAGTGTTAGACACCTGTGTAGCCCAATACCCACTGTGTACTATCTAGTCCACCCTAGCGGGGTGTCGCAGATAAGCCATGCTGCTCTCAGCATTGCCATAGAACTGAATAAACCTTGGAAAGGGAACTGAATAAATCTGAACAGTTCTTAGGTTTCCACTATTTTTTGCACCAAGTCCGCATGACTGGCTATTATCACCTCACTCATAGTATGAATAATGTTCAATAGTGATTATATACCCAAGTATAGGAGTCAGTTCTGTGTAATCATGGACTACTCAAAAAGGAAATTGTATACCAGGTCCTAATAGTAAGTGAAATTCAGACACCTGTGCAGCCCAGATCAGCTCCATATATACTGTTAGGTTACAAGGATGACACAGTTCCCAAAAAGGAAATTTTCACAGTCTAACAGTGGAATCATAAGAGAGTGTCACACTTTGTCACAAAATCAAAGTTGTGTATTGTAACTATATAAACACCTTTCATTAAGTAACCTATAGTGGTGGCTCAATAAATGTGTTAGCACTGACCTATTTTAACTGATGGGCTCCTATGTCAATAGCTGCTCGACCTAAATACATGAATCAAGTGCTAGCAGGAAGGGTATCAAAGGCAAGTATTGATTATGAAGTATTTTGATCATCATCATATGATATGATTACTATATTGATCATTCGGTAATAAAAAAGAGAATATCTAGTACTTTAACAATGTAAGGTGACAGACTTGTAAGTTTAGCTACTCTAACAAAACCCCCTGGTGTATACCCTCCTCACTCCCAGTGACTATGGCACTGATAATACAATACATTCACTCATCAGTAGAATTTGATCTCCATCACCTCTGAAAGATGGGCACAGATCTCCAGCTAGCCTTGGTGGATACAGTTGAAATAGAGTTCATTTGAAAGGTATACTATCCTACTATCCTTGAGCGACATCAGTTATATTCTTTGTTACCATTGCCCTGATCTATTTACTGCCAAGCATGCCTGAATACTAAATTGAGCAGTATTTTGATGATATCCTAAGACTACATGCATGGAATCTCATGATCTAAGTTGATATGATATCATAGGATAGCCTAGCACACCCTTACTCATTTTCCACCATGGGGCAAATGCTGGGGCCAGTCAATTAATAGAGACCTTAGGTGCTATATAACCCAGGATAGAGATATGCTAGAGGGGTACAGGCACCAGTTTCTAGAGGGTGGACCATACTCCTACTAGTGAATAGACTCAGATTTCCCAGACTTGCAAAGGTCATGCTATGATGAACTCATCATTATTGGGATAGATAACACTGATAATGGTACTGTGAGAGATCCAGAATAGCTATGAGGCTGATTCAAGTGCTGAACAGGTTCATTTGAAGGTCTATACCATCTTATATCCAAGTCTTGCATCATACTTGAAATTAATTTCTGACCAGTTGTAATAGCGAAGACACTCTCTTTTGCTCTATGGGTACCTAGCCTCTCTTCAGCTACCTTCTGTAATACATGCCAGAACCATGATGGATTATAGTATGGGGTCCTACTAGACATCCAAATATCCTCATACATGCATCTCAATGTCCAGTACTCAGTCTATAGACCCTACCATTCATGTAAACCAGTTCTGCACTCAACTCATCTTGGAATATTCACCCCAATTCATCCTCCAAGAATATATAGAGATCAATCAGAGCATGTAGGTAGATGTATACACCTCATTTCCAAGTTTCACATATTTGATCTATAATCAACTGGCGGATCATAGCTATATTGCCAATATGATATGCAGTACTATTCATCATTATAATAGGGAATAACAAGATTTCGTATGTATATAATGTGGTGTGGGAAATTTAATCTCATAGGGGGACCCCTCCGTATGCTTCCTACTCTTATTGTGTTGGGGATCCCTCACTTCTAAGTAAGTTATTGGGAGATCGGTGTGATAGGATATATGTCATATATACAGGTAGACACGATACCTAAAATTATGGGGGCTCCCATATCTATGATATACATCTATTAGACCAGATTGCAACTTAGATTATGCTTATCCATGAAGTTCCCAGTAAGATGTCAAGTGATCATTGAGTTTAATCAAATTTGAAATATAACAACTACCAAAGAGTGGTATAATGTCATAGTCTCAACATATATAAGCATGATCACATCAGAGCATATCAACACTACGTTATTACCTACCTACCAGTATAAAAATCAACTCACTTGATGCAGGATTGGTGGAGATATTGCAGTGTCAATGTAGGTGATGAATCATCATAGCATAATATAGCTATGCAAATAACATTTTATTGTCCTGGATATTGATCTTATCATTTAGGTACCCTTGGTAGTGCTTTAATCACCTATATAAGTTATCCACTTGCTGATATATTACTCAGGTGTAGATCAGCTAATAATTGGCCAATTCTAGTAATACAATTATTCAGTTGTGACTATAGGTCACTTAATGAAAGTTGTTTGTACACAACTTTGATTTTGTGACGATCTGTGACATTCTCTGATGATTGTAGAGTCAAATAGTGAAAATTTCCTTTTGGGGAAATTTGTCA